CGAAGCAAATAAGCTTTTACAAAAATAATATTGCATTCTTGAAAATCTATACAGAACAATGAACATAATTCTTGGAAATAGATTATTTTCGTAGTTGGAAATGCTTAACATCAAATGTCATAATTAAAGTGGACATTTTATACGATAGATGAGAAGATGAAAGTAAAGAGTTGATAGTTCCGTTATAGTACGGCAGTGTGAAATTTGTATATAGAAAGTAGAAAGCGAACAAAGGACAATTTACATATACATTCAATTGGAAATGAAATTCGTATTCTCCTTAGAAACCCCCTAGTATTCCCCCAGAATTCTCAAAACAAAAATCCATCACAAACTTTGAAATTCTTCTCAGAATTCTTTTGAGATTGAACCCTCAAAATTCGATTCCATTGGAATTCTTCTAGAAATTTATTTCGAACTCTTTAAAATTTTCTTGGAAGTATCGTCAGAAATCATCCCAAAATTCTTTAAGAACCATCCGCAGAGACCATCTTTGGAGTTCACGGGATTTTCATGGAATTTTCATCAGAGCCCCCTTAAGCAAAATTTCAGAACTAATGTTGAATTCTTATTAGAATTGGACCTAGAATCCTCATCCAATCATCATAGAATTCTTCTCAGAACTCTCGTTAAAAAGCACTCTTAATTATATTAGAATTATTTCCAAAATGGTTTCGGAGCTGAATTTTCCGTCTTTAATAATTTAAAAAATAATCAAAAGCGACGCTCGTATGTGTTAAGCCAAGTTTAACTTTCTAGGTAAACCTGGCTTAAGATTTAAGCGGAGAAGAAGTAATCGGTCCTCAGAGCACTTAATTTTACATGAAACTTTCGTAGTCTATACTTTGGTATTCTTCTCTGATATATCTTGGTGTCATCCCTAGAACCCTTTAAAATTCTCTTAAAATTTACATTGGATTTTTTAAAGTTCTTAATCATCCTTAGAAGACTTTTGAAAATCTATCACAGACAAATATCTTTGGAAAGTTTCCAAGGTTTACAATTTCTAATCGAAATTATAAGCATTTCCCAATAGTTTTCCTGGTGTTCTAAAGTTTTGCGGCTCACTAGTCACCCTAGTTAAAATTTTAATTTTTTTAACAGATATGTATATTTTGTTAAAACTACTGTAGACTTTCTTAGTGCCAAGTACTCAATTCAAACATTTTGTTGATATTTTTAAATTTCACGCTATTTTAGTAGTGAAAAGGTGAATTTAGTGACTATTTTTAGGGAAATAGTGACTTTAGTGACTTTTTGGTGTAAAAAGTGACTTTTTAGTGACTGGCTTCAAAAGCTCATTTAAGAGCGTTAAAGTCAGATAAAGAGAGCAAAAACAAATTGACAGGTGGAAGAAAAACTTCAGCTCAGTTGAATATAAAGCCTAGCAATGGTTCAAAACTGGTTACATTTGACCAACAAGTGTGACCAAGTCCTGTGAGACAAGCAAGGCAGTGTTGGATGCGCCAATTTTCGGTGTGTACATTTTAAAATAATCAATGATGGTGCCGATATCAACGCAAATTCACGTTTGGTACAGCATTTCCAGTCAAATCAAAACGATTCATATTTCGAATTACCATTCTTTGTAGAAACAAAAGCAGATATTTCCCTACTTTATTTAATACTTACCTATCTCCACCTTTGCATCACTTCACGGTTGGCTCATTTTCCAAATGATGCTGCAATAATCAAATTCAAATTTATTCCATCATTGTGTCATTTCAGCACCGAAGACGAACTCATTGTAGGAAGTCAACGGTTATTACATCATCAAGAGGATGAGCCATCGTGAGGATGAAAAACAAATTAATTCCTTATGGTGACAAATATTTTCTTTACAGTCGCATCCCATGTGGGATAGCTTCTGTGATGAACAAATATTTAATCCATCAACGGTGGCATGCTTGAATAACGTTTAAACTTTTTTGCAAGACTATGACTTAGACAGCAGAATCACATTTAAAGCCAGAACATTTATTGGACGTTACCTTGATGATGGTGATGATGATGATGATGACGATTTGTTTATTTGGTTCTACATCAACAGACTGGGTTTAGTCCTAATGATGGATTAAGCAATACTAGGAAATACAATATAGTCAAGAAGTAACAAGCTGCGAAGGCCGTGAAGTCCAACTTAATTCCTAATTCTTAAAAATATATCACGGAATCTCTGAGACAGCGTCTCGCGTGCCAATTGGACATCAAATAAGGAAGCAACACGATTGAACACCCTTTGTAGCCCATTGATAGCACCATACGAACTATAGTTTGTACGAAGAAAAGGTATCCTCAGCATTGCGTTGTTACGGAGTGCTCGTGGTTGAACGTTAACGTCGATTTGTTGTAGAATAGAAGAACAATCGATTCTGCCCTGTAGAATGTCTGCCACAAACAGGGCCCTTGTCGTATCTCTTCGACTCCACAAAGGATCCAGGTGAATTAACTGGCACCGACTTTCGTAGCTTGGAAGGCGATGAGGATCCCTCCAAGGCAATCGTCGAAGGGCAAACCAGATGAATTGTCGTTGAATAGACTCTTCTCTTTGTACACTGTTTTGGTAATTGGGATTCCATACAGGGTAGCAGTATTCTAACACCGACCGGACGAGGGAGCAGTAAAGCGACTTCAAACAGTAGATGTCCGTGAAACTTTTAGCTATCCTGAAAATGAAACCGAACGTTCTGGATGCATTGTCGATCACGTACGAGATATGCTGGCTATATGTGAGTTGACAATCTAAGATGAATCCCAGATCCTTAATGTGATTCACACGATGTACGTCAACGCCTTCTAGGATATAACTGAATGTAGTTGCATGTTTCTTCCGTGAGAATGTGATTACTGAACGTTTTGTTGGATTTACAATCATGCGGTTCAGTTGGCACCAATTAGCAAAAGCGTTGAGTTGGAGTTGGAGAAGGTGGCAGTCAGCGATGGCTCGAATTCGGAGATAGATTTTCATGTCGTCTGCGAACGGCAGTCGTGGACCGTCGAGGACGAAATTGACGTCGTTGAAATACACAAGAAATATCAACGGGCCTTCGGGTATACCTTGCGGAATACCCGAAGTGGCAGAGAACGAAGGAGATCGGCAGTCGTCGATTGCAACTTTCAACTGACGATCAGATAGATAGGATGCGAACCATCGTAGGAGACTGCCGTTTATACCGAGCTTATCCAGTTTGGCGATCGCTATAGGATGGTTCAACTTGTCGAAGGCGGCTGATAGGTCAGCGTAGATGACATCTGTTTGCATATGGTCTGGCATGCTCTCCGTAATGTACGAGGTGAGACACAGAAGATTGGAAGTAGTCGACCGCCCTGTCATGAAACCATGCTGGTCTTCGCTCAAGTGCTGCTTGAAGTGAGAGACTAATGGTTCCATAACGACTAACTCGAACAGTTTAGATATGCATCCCTTCTTATGCACTGGAAACATCTCAGCTGATTTCCAGCAGGAAGGAAACACCCCACTGGAGAGCTTGCTTGAGAAAAACGGATGGAGCTCCGTCAGGTCCAGGCTTAAATGAAGACTTCAGTTGCGAAGCTGCCCTAGTGAGGTCGATGTTGATAGCTGCCAAAGATTGACCAGACATTGGAACATTACTGCCTGATAGAGAAACGTACTCGTCAGGTAGGTTCTCATCCGAGAATACAGACGGCAAATGTCCTGAGGGGATGAAGCTTCTTCGCCGTTCAGTACCATAGTCGATGGAAGGCCAGACTCCTTTCGTTGCTCATTCACATAATTCCAAAAAGTTTTCGGGTGAGATCGAAGCTTCCGTTGAACATCTCGTTGATAACGCCGATAACATTGGCAACTGGTTCGTTGTTACGCATGATTGATCCTCGCATAATGGTCCTTGAGTTGTAGGGTGTGGTACTTGGTGTATTTTCTTAGCGCGGCTCTTTTGGAAGACTTTAACACTTGTTTGCCAAGGATGATGATTACCTTGTTTAGGTACTTTTTTCGGAACGTGTCGCTCAATGACGTAAGCCAACATATGCGAGAGCGTTTGGGCAGCTGCATTGACATCGGCAGGGACGAGTATCCTGTGCCAGTCCAAATTCGAAAGAAGTTCCCCGATACTGTCGTGGTCAGCATTTCGGAAATCGTAGGAGACCTCTAGGGGGGGGTGAAATGACCTCAGGAATTTGGTTGCCTTCAAGTGCAATAACTAATGAAGGATGGTGTGGAACAGTCTTTATCAACGAAGAAACAGCCATAAACAAATGCGGAGCAGTATCCTGAGCGGTGACGAAGCAAAGGTCTAAGCTACGATTGTTCTCATTAACCACGTGGTTGATTTGCATCAGAGTGGCGATACTGTAATGATCCAAAAGGCTTACAGCTCCAGAGTGAAATGTAGAACAGTCGTGGTCCGGATACAGGAATCCACCGTAAGATGATCGCCAAGAAATTGCCGGTAGATTGAAGTCGCCAATGATTATCATCTCGTCAGCAGCTGTTGTAGCGATCTCCATTATAGCTCGAATAGACTGGTTGTGGGATTCAATTAGCGTAGAGTCGCGAGTTCGATCCGGAGGAAAATAAACTACACACAAAAACAAAGTGCGGTCAGTGAGCTTAATGGCAATCCAAACTTGTTCCACACAATTCCATGAATCGTTTTCGATAACGTTTGCCTTCAATCCAGAGCCGAACGCTATGAGAACGCCTCCACCAGTAGATTTGCGGCTGTTGTGCGGATTCCGATCGCATCGAAAAACCTCGTATTCGGAACCAAACACTTGATTTGACCCTTAGGTGGTTCTGTCTCAGATTTCCGTGTTAAACGTTAAAAGAAAATGTCTCAAATTAGTTTTCTGGCTACGAAAAAATCTCGTGGATGGTACATTCCGAGAAACGGGTTTTCCGGGAAATAGTCCATCCTTGGAAATGGTCTTCCGGGTAATGGTTTTCCAGGATATGTTACACAATCCAAGGGAGGTGTATTTTTCTTATAAAAAAAAACAAGTATTAAGAAAGCAAGTTTTCATAAAACATCCGTTTATATTTACAAAATTAGAACAAGAATATAAGAAATCACTTACCACTAATAGGCAATTAGATCGGTTTTTATTCACAACTATTTTTCGCTAAGATTTTAGATAAATTCTTTATCATATTGCATCTCGATTGTGACTAACTAGCGATTGCTATCATGCTGGAAATGATTTCTCTAAAAATAGCAACCTTTTCCTGTGCTTCGTCTATTTACACGCGAATATCCTCAAGTACTGCAGAAGATTGGCTGGTCAAGGATTGTTTGGAATCTTTTTATTTCTGTTGCTCAGCAGCTGCACTTAATTCTACAGTTCATGCTATAAACGCGTATTCCTAAAGTCCGATGGATTATGTACAGTACGATTCGGTTTTATACAGTAAACAGCTTCTTCATTAGCACCGGTTCGGAACACTAGAATTCGACCAATCCGCATTACCTTCAACAATCATTTATCCAACTGATATGTTGCTAACATTTTTTTCTTCTGTAACTGTTTAGCTATCTCATGATGCATAACAAACTGCTGCCATTCTCATGTTTTTGTTTATTAATTTAACCTAACTTATGCTAGAAACTTTACACTAGTCTTACCTACACAGTACTGCAACATCTAAACTGCATCACATTACACTTTTTACTCCGCGTCAACAAATATATCACTTTGAAAAAGAAAAAAATGCACAACTTTAGTCGCGTTCTCACTTTGTCTCAATCACGCATAATTGTCCTCAAAAATGTACAAACCTATACACTGTTTCATCAATTTTCCTAATGCCATTTTTTTCCTCGACTTTAGAGTTTTAACTAATCGCTTTAACGCCCTAATCGAAGGCTGCACTCTTACTATTATGGCGCTGTTTTTGATTCGCTGCTGGAGGTCTGGGATGATTCAGTCTTGGTTCCCGTCTTTTGTGGATTCGCTTTCGTCTCAACCGTCGCCGCATCGGAATGCAGATCACTCAGCTCCTTCACGGCCCTCAGAGTGATCTGCACGGAGCAATAGAGCGGAGTTTGATTTTAGGAATTCTGGATTCGCTAGTGATGATCATTCGACACTCACCTCAAGACTGGGATCCGCTCTGATGGCCGCTACCAGTACTTCGGCTTCCCTGGTGAAAAGGAACACCACAGGAATCTTCACGTCATCACGGCCATCGCCGGACATTGCAAACATCTGCTGATTGTCGATCGAGGTGTTCGGTGTGTTATCGTACACAATGGCAGCTACCGAGCCTATGGATTGGAGAATATTTAGTTATAGTTCATATTATAGAAGTGATGTAGGACGTACCGGCTGCCTGCACCCTGCGAGCTTTGTCCACAAAAGTGCAATCACCGCGTTCTACAATGGCTATCCTGCCGTTAAGCTCTCTGCTATTTTTAAGGCCTGCAATTAGATATAGGATGACATGATTAGATTCTATGCAAAGATGCCAGATCTGTCGGTAGATCTACGGAATTGATCGGTTTTTGTGGAAATACGGATCCGTAGGCACGGACTTTTTCAGTGTAAGTTGTTTTTCTACATCGCTCCCTTCAGAATCAGACAGAAAATCCTATATAAGTTCTGAAAAATTGCGTTAAAATGAAAACATTGCGATAGAAAAACTGTTTTTTTTTTTAACAAATTAGCTAGAAATCACCTCAGCTACAACTTTGCCGATTTCTTACCCATATGGAACAGTTACGCGATTATGGGCAGCAATCCTCTTACGCCAAAGCAAGGAGTTCAGTGTTAAAGTGACTATAATTACGAAGCAAAAAGTTTGCGGAAGAACATGTGTCTCTAATTTCAAAAATAATGAAATTCATGTTTGGATATCAATTAATTTATCGACTACTCCAAACGGCTAAAACTAACCAAAGCATTTGGACTTTTGTTTTTCTTATTTCTCATCCTGGTTAATTAGGGGAAATTGCGGATCCGACATTTACCTATTATCGTTAGGGGTCTACTACGTCTTTGTCGACTATACTGGGGTACAAATCAAAAAATATGTGTGGTGAAATAGTGTTAGGTTTTGAACGCTTGTAGCTTTGTCATTTATAGATGAAAATAAAATCCAAATACGTCAATCAATAGAATATTACATTACGAATCTACTGAAATAAATATTTTTTTTTTAATTTTCCACAAAGAACATTAGAAAAATGTAATGATAATTTTATCTCTGTTTCCATGAAGTTCACGATTTTCTCTAACCCAGTCGTCATAATATAGTACAATTTGGTTGTATATCACTGCAAGCAATGAGGAAATGAGGAACTTGGAAAGTTATACATGCCTTAAACGACAACCCGAAAAAGACATGGATTTAACACTTTATTCCGGGAAATAAATTATAAGCAAACTACAATTATAAGTAAAAACAAAAGTTAAATTCCGTTAATTTTTTACCCGCTTACCATAGAGCCAAAACTTTCAAAATTGAGAAAATTACGCTTACATTTCGGATACATTCTAATCTGTTGATGAATTACAAACAACTGACTGTAAAACATATCTGGTACCTCTATATATGCAATTAGATTAACATCCGACGTCCAGCCTTGTTTACATATTCTGCAGTAAAGATACTTTCTGCCCCGCCCCATTCATAAAAAATGGCGGGAAATCCTATCAGGTGCGGTTGCACATCGTTCTTCTTGAACCTGTAGAATCTTGTTTGAGGATTTCTGTCGAGAAGCTTCTCAAAGTTTTCTATTACCAATGGGTTCGTTCCGCGAAACGATCTGTCAGTGGGAGAACAGCCGCGAGTACTTCGAGGCTCATCGTATGCGTCGAGTGCATACAGCCAAGCGCGATTCGGAGGCAACGGTATTGAACCCGTTGCAGCTTCAGGATGTGTGTTTTTGCTGCGGATTGAAGCAGAAGCTACTGTACTTTAGAAACAACAAGATGGTTGTTCGGTACAGAACCAAAAGCCCCCTTAATGTCCAAGAAAACTGAACCAACCGGTGGAAACTAACGATTTTAAATTGGCCCACTACTTGACTAGCCTATTGGTCCCAAGCAAAACGATTAACGTACCCCATTCTAGTTGAAATGCTAGTACTACACTATGTTTGCTTTGATTCGCTATGAAAGTTTGACAGATAAAATGAGGAGTTCGGGGATTTTCCTATGTTTCGAGGGGTGCATCGATTAGCTTGGGACCGAAGATAGTACCAGAGCTGAGCCAAAAAGTTGAGCATATTCCTTCGGGACCTTCTGGTCGTAGAGTTACCTCGCATAGGCCAGTTGAATTTCAGTTGAAAGCAACGCAAGACAGTCGCTCGTTCTTTTGCCTCTCCGAAATCCAAATTGCGTATCTAAAAGTAAACCATTCGACTCGAAATATTTGTCTAGACGAAAAAGAATAATTTTCTTCAACAATTTCCGTATACAGGACAGCATTGCGATGGGACGGTACGAGTTATAATCCGACGCGAGTTTACCGGGTTTTCGAATGGCGATAACTCTTACTTGCCTTCAGTTATCCGGAACAATGTTGTGCTCCATGAATTGATTTAATAAGTTCAACAAGCGTCTCTTCGCGACGTCTGGGAGATTTTTAAGCAAGTTGAATTTGAGTCTATCCATTCCTGGAGCTGATTTGTTACATGAGAGGAGAGCAAGTGAGAATTCCATAATCGAAAACGGGGAATATATTTCGTTACTACCCGACGGACGATCACGAACATTGGTTTGAACCGGCACCGAATCCGGGCAAACTTTCCACGCGAAGCTGAATATCCAACTTTCTGAGTACTCTTTGTTTTCGTTAACCGGTGATAACGCGTTTCGCATTCTCCTGCTGACATTCCAGACATTGTTCCCATGGAAATCTCTCGCGACAAACCATCGACAAACCGACGCCATTAACCGCGATTTTTGGCTTTAATCAAGCCCTTAAAAGTTTTCTGGAGGTCGGTGTACCGCTCGAAATCCCCAACCTTACCGTGTTTGCGGAAGCGTTTAAACGCGGCGGACTTCTCGCTGTTTGGAAACACCCGGAACACGTTTCGTTTGTGCTCGCAGCGCACAATCGATGATGAGGCGCGCGAGAAAGGAGTACCGTAAAACGGGGTATCTTTGATAATGCGGGTAACTTTGATAGTAGAATACAATGATTAAATTTACTCTCTGCGCCTTTTCCGAATTGGAAACATTGGTTCCATATTGTAGCTTATGGCATTTCCGTTGATATGGTATATAGTTTTTATATTGTATGTGTTACATCATTCACAAGACGCGACGCGAGACAAGACACAACACTTATCGTTCTTACAACTTTAAAATAAATTAAAATTTACCTTACTGTCGACCGGTTTCGGGCGTGATGCTGCCCATCTACGGGACAATGTCCGACATTGTCCCGTAGATGGGCAGCATCACGCCCGAAACCGGTCGACAGTAAGGTAAATTTTAATTTATTTTAAAGTTGTAAGAACGATAAGTGTTGTGTCTTGTCTCGCGTCGCGTCTTGTGAATGTCGTGTAGTTCTTACGTTAGCACAAAACATAAAAAATAAGTATGTGTTACATATTTTACAAACATATTAAGATTCAATTTTGGTGTTGAGTACTTGGCACTGATGAAGTCTGCAAGTAGTAGACGAAATACGCGTATCTGTCAAAAGATAAGCAATTATAACGGAATTTAAAGGAAATAAACCAACCCACTCAAAGCTCTTCACAATTTTATTGGTTATCGCCTGTTTGAAAAAGCACTCAAATCATCACTTATGAAATTTATTTCTAATATAGCCATTACAAATTAAATGTTGTATTCTTATTACTGATGATGTTTTCTTATTATATACTCATTCAAAGTTGCATATTTCAAGAACTAAATTATTTGTGTTTCACGCATTTTCTTCTACATTCAACGAGCATTATCAAAGTAACCCCAAATCAAAATACTGATGTTCGGTCACAAGACTAAAAAAATAATGCAAATGATTTAATTTCCGTCAAGCATATTATTAACGAATTGAATCTTGGATCCTCAGTATGTACTGAGGCATTTACCTCGAATATTAACCTGACATGCAACTACTTCAATGCCTGTCACCGAAGGCAGATCGATTCTGTAAAAGGAATGGAGTTTGTTGATCCCGAGAAGCACCCCTTCATACGAATCTGAGCGGTCAAGGCGAATAATGTTGAAATTGTGGAAAGCAAGATCGTTGTCTGAAGAGAGCCAAGTTTCACGAAGGGCAAATGCATCAGAGAGTGAGTTGTGAACTAAAAATTTAAATGCGTCAAGTTTTGGTTTTGGACTTCTACAGTTCCACTGAAGAACAGATATCATATCCCCGACCTCATTCGGAGAGTTATCAATCAAAGGATATGATCGATGCAATGAAGGACCACCTAGAAGCTAGTTGCTTCAAAAGAGTTTTTACCATTGGCAGCACTAAATTAATAATACTCCTCGTTGAATTAGATATATTGAATATACTGAAGAAGCTATCCACAATACCAGAAAACGTGAACATGGGGGCATGTTCTTGCTGATTATTCAGCTCATTTTCTGGCCGAAAAACTTGGACATCTGGGTTTTTAGATGATCCTGGAAGTGACGGAAAGTCCTTGTCATAATTACAAGGCTTAACCCGGTGAATGGGGTTCAGTGCATTTCCGTTACCTCTTGATTTTTTCTAAGGGTAGAGGGCGGTCCATACAAGTGGCCTCACGAGGCTTTTCGGTGGTGTGTTTTTCGGCTCGTTCTCGAATTGCCTTCAAAGACAAACGGACTACCCTCACTGCCCTCTGAGTCAGAGTCTAGATCATCAACTGGAAAAATGGAGAAAGTGTTACTGCTTTTTTGAGTGATCTGAGAAGGTGAAGCGGTATTTTTCAAGAGTTCTGATATTGTTCTCTTGGAGCGAACTTGCAGAGACGGCTTAATGTTGTCTCCCTGCTGTTTATATCTCGGGCAGTCAGTTAGGGTATGCAGGCTCTCCTTGCAGTACACGCGTTCGAGCAGTAGTCCGATGTGTGACCAAGTTGTTTACATTTCGAGCAGTTCATTACCCGAGGTACAAACATACGTACAGGCAATAGCTACGTAGTGAGGTAACGCTGAACCCGAAAAGGTTACACGAAACGAGTTTGACAAGGAATTAGATTTTAATGGATACTGACTGAATTTGAAGGCAGTCCAATATCTTCACCTTCGGGATTGCACGGTTTTTAAAGATTCGGAAGGGATCGGGTCGGGACCCAAGAAATCATCACTAGTCAAACTCACTTCGGTGATCACTCCTTCAATTTCTACCTCACTACTGGGTATGTAGACTCGGTATTCCAATGAAAAAAGCTCGCACGCAACAATTTGGTTAGCCTGGTTCCGGTCATCAACGGTAACGCGCAATTTTATTGGTGTCACCTTGAAAATATCGGTAACGGCCGAAAAATGTGTTGTTAGATCCTTAGAGATCCTCGGAATGTTCAAATGTTTTTGTTTGGGCCGGAAAAAACAACCCATGGGCCTTTCGAGGCTTCTGGGTAAGTCTTTAAGCAGGGGCAATGGTGTGGGGGTGGGGGGCGATAACTTTTTTTTTCTTTATTTAACGTCGGTCTCTGTTCCGCAATCTAGTGCCAATCACCGACGGACATCGATTGCCATCCATTGACGGCAACCGAATGTGCATGAAGGCAGCTTCCACACCTGCGTAGGATATCGCACTTATTCACAACACACATGGGCCGGGACCAACGGCTTTACTTCCCTTCCGAAGGAAGACGTGACCAGAGATTTTTATGCCTCAGAAAAATCCTACCGACATCGGCTGGGATTGAACCCAGACCCATTGGGGTGTTAGAAAGCAGTCACGCTTACCACTACACCACCGGCGCCGGCTATGGTGATAACTTTTCTAAGGATATGCTCCAGTATTTTTTATGGAGCGCGAGTCAACTGGAACGTCAAGGGTATCTATTTCAACATGGTTCTGAAGACTTTCGTGTGAGGGGGAATCAAGAGTGTCGTCGTCTGAGATGGAAAGCGACCATCCCCCGCCTTTATCATTTTCATCCATTGCGGTTAATTTTTTTTTAATATTAAAAAAAAATGGATATATAGGATTTCTATTGTATACAATGCCTTCGAGCGTTGATCTGCAGTAAGAGAAATTTGTTTATATAAGCTGATGAGTTTATTTAAAAAAAAAAGCGCTTGAATTCAATCATTAGCTTTTCGACACGATTGCGTTCTGTACCTATCATTAATCGACCATGGTGTATAATTAAGTTATATCGATGGGGTTTTGTCTCCGGTATGTCGGTATATCGTTAACAAAACTTTTAGTTATACGGTATAACTTAAATCTATTGACTACACCGTGCAAGTTGCCTTCCGTTGATGGATATTAATTTTTTTTGTTATTTATTAATCATACGAGAACCTGTCAGTTATTGAATCATACATCAGGTTAAGTTTAAGCATGAGTTTAAGGTAAATATATGTTTTCGCTGTGTACTCACTTGTGCAAACTTTCGAAGGACTAGCGAACACCGCGCGCTGGGAAATCGACATGTCTCCCGATAGCTCCGGTCCGAAATGACTTGGACCCGCTTTGAGAACCTGAAGCTCTTCGCCGTTCCTCTGGAATGACACCTCTTGGAGTTGCGTTTTCGGAATCGCATTCGACTTGGAAAGCTCGACCATTTCCTGCATGAAGATTAGCCCTCTCTCGGCGTCTTCGGGTGATTTGGCCTGTACGTAAAAATAAGTAAGCATTAATTCATAAACCACACAATCCATTTCCATTTGCCTTACGTTGTAGAAACTGTGCAGCAGCTGAACTTTTCCCTCGCCTAGAGAAACCATCGTAATACCCATGTCATAAACTGTCCGTAGATGATCTGCATTGCTTGCTTGAAAGTCAGCCGCTCTAAGTCTTTTGGCACTCGATATACGTGGGCATACTCCCGTAACCAGGTCTCTAAGGGGACGTCTAACCGTTTCAGGAAATAACTTGTTCGGACTCGGGCACGATCGCATAAAATCCAGCATATTGCCTTCCTCGTGTTCTTTAATATCTGTAAAATCTTAACATGTTAACGAAAAGTCACAAATCGAGAAATAGCGTATCGAGCTTACTAAAAGTGTGATTTCCCAGTTGACCTAGCGTGAGTGGCAGTAGATGCGCCTCGGTTGTGAAGATAAAGTTTTCAATGTTCAACAACAAATCCGAAGGATCGGAGAACAACAGGTACAGATATTTGAATGTTTCCGACAGCACATAAGAATCCATCCGGTCCTCGTGTTTACCGGTACGAACGTCATTGACTGCGGCATATCCGCAAGGAACTTTGGCATGTTTCTGAAGAGCGTTCAATGCTTTTTTACCAGCCTAAAATAATGTCGTTATCGTTAGCTGAAAATCTCTAAAACAAGGGTGTAAACATAAACCTGAAGGTAATAGTGATCTCCCGTGGCACGGTAAAGGAAATAGGTGGATTCAATAAACTCAGGCCGTAGATGGTGTTGTCCCCAATGAACCTGTAAAAGTGTGTGGATGTTAGATTTCAACTGTTAACAAAATCTATCGCTGCGTATTGTACCTGGAAGTCGTAGGTAAATGCTTCAGGAATGAATGTGTGCATCTGCATGACCTGGTAGAGCATTTCATGAGTTTGCACCGCTGGTTTCAAGTCTCCGGACAAAACCTGCAGCCCAGGCCAGAATGCCAAGAGAGCATCCATAAAGTTTCTTGTTTTTGTATGGGGACGATGCATTTGCACATCCAACAACATCGGACCTTGGCTGATGTACTTCATGATAGCGTTGTAATGCCGATTGAAACGCGCCAAATATCGTTCGTCACCCAATAGAATGTATGATTTAAGGCAGTATTCATAATAGGAATCAATGCCGGCACCAACTCCCGACTCTCGTCGGATCCAGTCCCCTGAATGGACATTGAGAACAGTTCCCATTAGATCCGAACTACGATGGCGCATTTTCCACAAAGCATCCATCGAGGCATGTGCCTTGGCTTCAAAAATCGGTTCCCCGCTCAGCCTGGACAGAGCGGCGAATTCCAGCAGAATCGTTCCAGCACACGCCGTACATGTCTCCCTGGAATGACGTAACGCCTCCACTTTCATTCCATGTTTCAGATTGACCTTTAAAGATATTGCAATCAGTGTAATAAATGTCTGAATTATTAAAAGCCTCGTTATTACTCTTGCGTGCGGGATTCCGGTTGACGTGTTGAAAGCCGGCAGTAATCGATACCCTATATCTTTCGCCATTTCTAGCAGTTCACCACGGTACCACGTCATAACGTCGGCCTGCTTCTGGACATACTCAGCAAGAATGTGAGCCGATAGTAAGCCACTGCAACGAAAGAGAAATTAACAAATTGATCGGTACAAACAAACTTTAGCAAAACTAGCTGATTGGAAGATACTTACCCGACCATTCTGATGTTGGTCTCAAAAACAGATACTACTATATCGTTGTCGAACTTTACATCCTTAATTACTAGTTTAACCGCCCGTTCGAACTCCTCCAGGTCGCCCAAAATTACCAAAGTGTCCAAAGAGTCGACCAGAGTCATGGAAAAGCTGCAAAACAAAAAACGTTAGTTTATATAAGTAAGCATCTTTTGCAAAATTCAAATGTAGGTCTATACATCTATTCGCGAATACAGAAACACACGAATAATGTTTGTTGTTTAAATGCTAAATTGAGTCCAAATCGTTACTGATTGAAAATGTGTGCTACATAAATATCAACAATAATAAACATCTTGTTTATTTTGTAAACCCTGGCCTAGGCCTAGGGTTTAAATTTCGCGCGATTGTACGACTTTTCCCCGAAAACCAGTTCCCCGAAAACACTTTCCTCGAAAGCTTTATCCCCGAAATACGATTCCCCGAATGAACCATTTCCCCGAAAGGAACGTTTTCCCGAAAACTATTTCCCCGAAAGAACTAGTTCCCCGAAAGATACAATTTACACTGTGCGATCTATTTAAATATGATCCTTGGGTTTGTTGCAACTTTTTTTTTTTTTTCCTTTAGTTTGTTTTTTCCGTCGATCTTGTTTTCCGTGCTGAGCACCAATGCTACCGACGTGCCAGGAAGGCAGCTCCCACACCTGGACCTTACCTATCGACCCATCAACTCATGAACCGGGGACCAACGGCTTTACTTCCCATCCGAAGGAAGGCGTGATCAGAGATGTTATGCCTCAGAACATCCCGGCGGCGCCGACTGGGATTGAACCCAGGCCTGCTGGGGTGAGAGGTAATCACGCTTACCACTACACCACCGGCGCCGTTCTGTTACAACTTATCTATATGAAATTGAGAAAAATATCTTTGCTGAATATTGATAAACAGAACAAAGCCGTTCAACACCCTAGATAAAGTTTGTGGTTATGACTTGTTATGACATTTGGCGGTTTATCAAATTGATATCTGATTGTAATGACTGAAGTAAAGACTGAGCTTTGATATAAAGAAGGGAAAATTGTGTCAGTTTCATCAAATCTTTCGCTGGTTAACTACTTGTATCGAACAATACCACAATACACATATCAATGTGTGTCGAATTAGAGTGGACTCTACACGACTGTTTGTACTGACAATAATCGTATTGTCAATGCATTTTATATTGACGTCAATACATCGGTATTGACAATATATTTGTATTCACATCATCTCTCTATATCATCACAGATTTCCTGTAATTTTTTACCGAATATTCTGAAATCGGTGTAAGGTGTTTTCTTCTTGCTCCATACAATTTTGGATTCGGCCTATAAGGAGTCGCAAAGTGACTATAGCATGTATTGCATGGGGACGCATGGTATCTTTTATTTATTAGTATGGAGTTTTTTAACGTTCGTACCTATCCAACACACACACATACATTGTATGCAATTAGCTCCATGGAACATACCAAGTTATACATCAAATAATCAACTAAGATAAAAAGAAGGAAACATTCTTGCAACAAACAAAATTTTCCCTTTTTTGTATCACAGCTCGTTCTTTAACGTTTTGAAGAATAAATCGACAGTGAGCATGCATAAGGGCCTATACGCGATGATCGATTCTCTTCATCGATTTTCTCTTTGCATTGCTACAGCTAAGCGCAACAATTTTGTAGAATTTATTCAATGTAGAGTTGTAACAGGTTGCATTGGCTATCAAAAGCAACAGAAAACGCACCGACAAACGTTAAATCTAGCGAGTTATTAACAAAAGAGAAAATCGATGAAGAGAATCGATCATCGCGTATACGCCCTTATGAATGCTCACTGTCGAAATATCTTACTAATTTATAAAACTGATATCTAATCGTAATCAAATTAAAAAAACGAGCCGTTAGGGGCCATACATTAATTATGTCACGCGAAATTGAGGCAAAATTAATCAATCACAGATTTCTACACGTCCCTCCTTAGGGCGTGACATAATTTGTACATCACCCCTTATACAAAAAAGAAAAATCGTTGTTTGTTTCAAGAAATGTTCCTTCTTTGTAGCACAGCTCGTTTCTTAACGTATCGCATAATATCTACCCTAATAAAAATGTTATGGTTAATTTGCTTAACGACGTGTTCTGGGTATCATCCAAACCATTTGTGGAATAGTTTACACGTTTGGGTTATCGTTCGTTTATGGTAATTTTTTATTAGGGTATATAATTGGTTTTATCAAAGAGATATCATTTTCCTTTCTTTGTATCACGGCTCGTTCTTCAATTTTATTACAATGAGATATCGCTTTGATAAATTAGTAAGATATTTATTCTTCAAAACGTTAAAGAACGAGCTGTGATACAAAGAAGGGAAAATTTTGCTTGTCGCAAGAAATTTTCCTTCTTTGAATCATAGTTCATTCTTTGACGTATAATATGGTATGATCCATGGCGCTAATTGCATACAATGTGTGTGTTTGTTTGATAGGTACGACCGTTAAAAAAAAACTCCATACAAACAAAGAAAAGATATCATGCGTCCCCATGCCATACATATTAGTCACATGGCGACTCCTTATATGGTGAATCTAAAATTGTATGGAGCACGAAGAAATCAATATGTGTTGAATAAAGACAAAAGTTTGACTTTCGTTAAAACTACATGGAAAGGTCAAAAGCTGCTGAAATAGGATTACACCGATTTCAGGAGCTTGACCTTTACATTTTGTTTTAACGAAAGTCAAACTATTATTTTTATTCGACGCACATCAATATGTTTATTGTGGTATTGTTCGATACAAGTAGTTAACCAGCGAAGATGCGCAGATTCGGGGAAGTGGTACATTCGGGGAAATTATTTTCTGGGAACTGTGCCATTCGGGGAATTGTATTTCGGGGAATTGTATTTCGGGGAAAAGTTACATTCGGGGCAATAACTTTCGGGGGACTGGTTTTCGGGGAAAAGTCGTACAATCAATTTCGCGCCACTTAACAGTTTTTTTTGTTTAAAAAGCGTTTCTCTTTATGTAATATGCTACACATCCTGTATGTTTTACATATTAGGGAGATTATATTAATAGTAACATACATATAAACGTGAATTACAATAGGAAATCTTATGAGCAGAATAGGGACTTTGAATTTTTCACTTGATCATGCGTGCATTCCAGAATACTTTCACGAAAAAAAAACAAACATTGTTTCTCCATAGGTCATTAATCAAGAAAATTACATCAAGAAAATCATCTTTCTTGCTCGTCATGATATGGTCTTAGATGTATATATGTATTTCAAAGTGGAGTACCGTGAAGACTCGAAATCCGGACACTTAGTCCACAAATCCGGACACTTTTAAAACTCAATTACCATTGCCTACTATGCTCAAAATAGATCATAAATTTCACCATGGGTTTTAATATCATTCAGAACCATCATAATAAATAAATGGATCGTCCGATACAGTACTTTTATTACTTTACTTGATTATACCAATTTAGAAGAGATTTTCTCAAAATCAGGTCGTTCGAAATTTGGTAAATCCAATGAACACTTTTTCGTCAGTTATAATAATTTTACGTGTTTTAACTCTATGGTTGTGTATTACTCCATCACTATTGAGAAATGAAGAAGTAATTGGTTTTGATACAGTTGTCATTCTTGCCTTTATCGTAAGGTTCCGACTTTAATTGTAAGGTCCCGCTCTCAATACCCTTTGGAGTGCTGGAACACCCTCACACCATTGGCGTCCCGTAACCTCACTTTTTACCTGTGCACCAACTTTCAAAACCAGATTTGATGCCATATTCATATTTGAATCGGTAATAAATACACTTAATCTTATAGTTTACCTGATATCTATCCATTGCAAGCAATATTTTCATAATTGTTTATCTATTGACGGGCCCGTGTCTTAACGTCTGTTAATGCTCGGAAAATGAACTATGCAAAAGGCGCATAAAAGTTAATCGTATGCTAGCTATCTCGAGTAGTCGGCCCCCGCTTTATTAACGTTAGTTTTAAGTAATTTTGTAATCTAAACAATGAATATCGGCTCCGCAAAGCTACAGCAAATGAGCCTGGAAAAATAAACGCATTATAAAAAAAATGCTAGCTATCCTAAAGCGCTATAATAGTTATAGAAAAAGCACACTCGCGGAGAAGCAAAACAGAGAGAGTAAGAGACTTAAACACTGTTGGAGCGGCAGCAAAAATGAAGTGTGCTGCACGATCAAAATTGCTCTTTCATGTCTCTTTGGAAGTGAAAGTTATGTCTCGCAACAACATGTGTTTTACTCGCAGAAAATTGAGGAGCACCCGATCCCTGCTTGTCACTATCAACAAGGCATACAAAGTAAGAATGACTAAGATGTGTTCCTTTGATTACAACACAATTCTGTTCCCCTAGTTTGAAGTAGTTCGGACCAGGCTTCGAACATAAACACGAACCATAACTTGATCTTACCAAAAATGGTTAAAAATTGTTTATAATCTATGCTTAACTGTAACTGAAATGGTTATGGAACTTTACATGAACGTTTGTATGATAAAGTTTTAACCTTATGTATTATGGTTTTTTGGAAGTATAACGGGTGTTCAATAAAAAATGAGAATGATTCCAGTGCCGTCCACCGCTCTTGTGAGAGCATCGCGACTAAGTACGACTGACCAGGGCCCCTCTCCAATATTCATTGACGTTTTTTTTTTTTTGTTTGAGAATAAACATCATGTTTTTTAATAAAAAATACTGAATTCGTTGAAAAAAAATTTTTTTACTGCCTATATGACTGAAATTTTTTTCATTTTTATTGAACACCCGTTACCTTTCAAATAAGGGGTTTTTTATATAATGCTTTTATTTTTCCAGGATCATTTCCTGTAGCTTTGCGGATCCAATATTCATCGTTTGGGCTACAAAATTACTTAAAACTAACGTTAGTAACTCTCACCCCAGCAGGCCTGGGTTCAATCCCAGTCGGCGCCGCCGGGATGTTCTGAGGCATAACATCTCTGATCACGCCTTCCTTCGGATGGGAAGTAAAGCCGTTGGTCCCCGGTTCATGAGTTGATGGGTCGATAGGTAGGGTCCAGGTGTGGGAGCTGCCTTCCTGGCACGTCGGTAGCATTGGTGCTCAGCACGGAAAACAAGATCGACGGAAAAACAAACCAAAAGAAAAAAAAAAAAATAAAATAAATAACGTTGGTAAAGCGGGGGCCGATCGCGGGTTGTTTTCCTCGGGCCCTGAGGGATGTGGATAACTCAGATCTGGCAACACGGTGTAAGGTACATGACCACAACATGCTCGATATCGTGATAACCGCTGCCACACGTACATAAATTGCTGCATGAGAGCCCAATTCGATAGATGTATAAAGCGAAATTTTGCAAATCTTCAGGGAAATTCGCATAACTTCAGACAAGTCCAAGAATCTACAGTGAAATATAAAGTATTCCACAGAAGTTCGGAGATCTACTGAAAAATTATTCAACATCAGAAAAGTTGGTAGATCTTCAGAACATATCTACAGAACTTTGAAAAAAAAAATACAGAACTTCTGAAAAAATCACAACAATGCCGAGGGGGCGACTATATCTAAGGTGCTGGAAAAATTTTTTTTTGCTGTTGTGAGATACGCTCACGCTTAGTAAATAGAAACAAGATTGATGAAGATTTTAAAGATTTCCTGCAAAAAGGTGGAATGCGATGTGAGTAGATGGCTGTAGATACAAGAGATGAAAAAAGATGTTTCGTCGTGTATTGATTCGCTTGTGTGACATTTTTCAACCACCTAAAATTGAGATTTAGATGTGTCGCACCCCCAGAAGAATGGTCATAGATCTTCAGATACATTTTAAGACCTTCAAGAAAGTGTGCAGATTTTCTGTTACATTTTTAGAACCTCAGATGGATCTTCAGTAAAATTTGCAGAACTTCAGGGAAGGTCGGCGATTTAAAAAAAAATATTTATAAGATTTCAGGGAAATTTGTAGATCTTCAGAGAGACATTTAAAACTTCAAGGAAGCTCAAATATTTTTAGATAAATTTTGAGAACTTAAGGTAATTTAGAAGATCTTCAGGGAAATTTTCAAATCTTCAGGGTAACCCGAGAGAAGTTTGCAGATCTACTGAGAAATTTATTGAGTCTCGAGGTTTTTTTTTTTCATAGATCTTGAGAATAGAACTGCGGAGCTTCAGACAACTTTACAGATATTGGCAAGAATTTTTCAGATGTGAGTTCTTTTTTTAAGTCAGAAAAATGTGAGCTCATGAAAAATTCGTTAAATGTCAGAAAAGTACCTCAATTTCAAAAACAAATCGCAGCGAAGTACAAAAGTCCTAGATTTTGCAGAACTCTATGGAAGTTGGAAATAGATAGATCTGAAGAACTTCAGAGAAGTCTGTAGAACGTCAGAAAGTTCGTACGTTTTTAGAAAAAAAAATGCAAAACCTTACGCAAACTTACAGAACTTCGGGAAAGTTCGCCGATATTTAGAAGTATTTTTGCTCAGCTTGCATGGAGCAACCACAAGTTCGCAACTCTATTTAAAATTTGAAATGACCAAACGTCCTCAAACTACACCGAGTAATTAAGTTGTTTGAAACTAGCGAAGTCAGTCATGCTTTTTAATAAGGGACTAAGAAATATTTCCCTGAACTTGAATGAAATTCCCTGAGATTCCCTGATTTTCCAGGTTTTTCCTGTATTAGATGTTAATAGACCGAGTAAATTAAGGTTTTCCTCGAAAATGTTTACGGTTGAGGAAAATTGCAGGTGACCAAGAAACTAACGGTCGGTAACACGCCACTGAGGCAAATAGATTTGAAAGTTCCATAAGAATTTATAAGGCCGAGCAAACCAAGCATGCAATCAACTTGTAGTACAATAAAAGATAAAGTTCATGTGGTGGAATGAACAAAAGCTAGCCATTAGATAAAATTTCGGAATTTATTCAAAAATGTTTAAAGAGGTGTTTTTTTTATGAGCGTTTATCAAAAGTCCTGAAATTGTAACTACTGATTGAATAAATATTGAAGGTTTATCTGTTCAATTTAGAGCATGATCGATTAGTCTGTCGGCCTTATTTGAGAACTTTTATTCAAACTGCTATATTTTCAAGAACAAGGAGGCAAATGAACTAAAATTGCTGTCAAATTCTCATTTTACATTTGTTGTGGCTAAAAAAATAAGCAGTATTACCAAATGACCAGTTAAAGCAGAAGTTGAAAAGATATTACGAGTGGTGGCAACAGTGTTCTGAAAATCATTCTCAAGTCTCATTCATTGAGCCTCCTTGCCAGAATAAATCCGCGTGCGAATGCGGCAAACAAAATCCACGCTTGAAATTCTCATACAAATTCACGCACTCACACTCATAATGCCTAAACATCATTCCAGCTTTGAACTCATAAAAACCACGTAAACGCCAATTGATAGCATGCTTATGCATGTTGTCGTGTTGTAATTTTCCCAACCCCTGATGCACAAACAATAGTCATAACAATTAATAGCGCCGAGATTTAAATGAATTTTAGAAACAGAAAACTCTTCGGTGATTTTTGCGACGTTGAATTTTGGAAGGCAAAACTCAGGCGCATAAACTCATGCATCAGATTTAAGGTTTTGAGTATTTCCGAACACTGGGTGGCAATATAGTTGCCACTTCCTTGTAAAGGTTTAAACATCTATCTTGAAGATGAATGAGAAAGATTTGGAGTTAAGGTTATATGAAATTATTGAAACATAAAAGTCTGATGCACGGATTGGCTGACAAAATCGGGTCATTACTGTAACTAGTTGGGAGGAAAAATGCTCAATTCTGCGACTTAAAGGGAATCACAGAAGAGCCTTAAAACAAATACAACAAAGGGACATCAAGGGACATAACTTAAAATATTTAAACCAGGGCCATTGCTGTAATTAGAACGAAGTCACTTTGTTCTTGAACAATGTAGTTTCATTCATCACTTTGTTTACCAACACTTCCTATTCAGCAACACTTGTGGAAGACATATCAACTTTTTTTGTGCCGTCTCATTTTCTCTTATCAGAAATGAACACGTAGCAGTTATACGACTCATAAATAGCTTTACCAAATAAAAATGTTTATATTTTATTTTATTGATGCTGACCCTCAGTTTTTATTCTAGTACTTACTTCCCCAGAACGTCGTCCAAATCTCCCCGCGAAGGAGTTATTCCCCGGTATCTTCCGGTGCAACTCAATGGCATCAATTCGTCCGCCGGATAGGCCTTCTCCATGTAAGCCCTGTAGGCATGGTAGAACATTTCTTTGGCTTCTTCCCTAGAAACGAAGCAAAGATGTCAATACATCCCCTGATGGACACGTACTCATTTGATATGGCCGTACTTGAGTTCATTTCGTTCTTTGTTGGACATGTTGTGCGTCGGAACGGACGGAATATGATCTGCTGCTGCTGCGGCGCAGCTGGACAGCACCACCGACAGTGCCACATACTCGAGCAGGAAGCACCAGAATCCCCTCAATGTCCGCATTCTATATTCACTATACGACTATCTAGGCAGCAACACACAACACACTACTCTCGCTCTCTCCTGCCTCCTTCCTCTTCCGAATCAACTTTCTCGGAACGACGGACACAAAATGCTACCTTAAACGGAATCTATTGGGACACAGTTGGAAGAGGAAGGATCTTAACCAGCTAATTACAACACCAAGTCTTTTCAGTAGCCTTTCCACGACGACTTCATTTGAGGACACAAAACACTATCGCGCACACACAGTGATATTTTTGTTGCTAGTAGCGTTCCGCTCGGTGCAGCTTCCTGAAGCTGCGGAACATCCACAAACTTACTGTTTTCCTTCTGTTTCGAACCACGCATTATCAGGACGAGCTAGCATCCAATCCGAACCGAATGAAAATCATTTCCACACGACGTCACCGATGCGAAACTGTTCCGTTATTCCGATATAAAAGTGGAAAAGAGTGAAGGAAAACTTTTGTGCAGCCACCTAGATTTTCTTGTAGCCTTCACTTTTCCCTTTTCTTGTCTTTTTTTTGCTTTTCTTTCGATGAAGAAATGATGACAGAACTGCGTTTACATACAGCTGTCACTTTAAAATGAGATGGCGGATTCGCCACACAGTGGCGCTTCCCGCATAAACGCGAACCATAAATTGACCTTACCTCAAATGGTTAAAAATTGTTTATAATCCCTGCTAAACTTTAACTGAAATGGTTATGGAACTTTACATGAACGTTTAATGATAAAGTTTCAACCTTATGTATTATGGTTTTTTGGAACTGGACCTTACAAATAATGGGTTGTTAAGAACCATTACCGTTCCAAATTCTTGTTTTCTCCATACATTATCGGAAAGAGAACTATATGAAAATACTTAATTTTTTTTTTTTTCCTTTGGTTTATTTTTTCCGTCGATCTTGTTTTCCGTGCTGAGCACCAATGCTACCGACGTGCCAGGAAGGCAGCTCCCACACCTGGACCCTACCTATCGACCCATCAACTCATGAACCGGGGACCAACGGCTTTACTTCCCATCCGAAGGAAGGCGTGATCAGAGATGTTATGCCTCAGAACATCCCGGCGGCGCCGACTGGGATTGAACCCAGGCCTGCTGGGGTGAGAGGTAATCACGCTTACCACTACACCACCGGCGCCGTTATGAAAATACTTAATAATAGGTAAAAAATCTGTTGGATTTTTTTTTTGTTTGCCGATAAGCATAACACAAAATATAAAAAAAAATACTCAAAATTTCAATTTGTTTTCATTTATAAAATAATTGTGATTTCAGAATAATAATAATTTGTCATTATTCTCACCATACCGTGCTAACACATTTTTCCGGTGCCTTATTACGAACTTGATGGTGGGTAATTTTTACTTTACGTTGGGTGAAAAAATAAGCATGCATCGCAGACGCTGACTTTGCTTGTGCTGCCGTTAGTTCATTATGAGACAGTTTGATGAAAGGACGCTGATTGAGTGGAATCCAGCTAGATTTTATTTGGAGCATTTGGAGTGATAAAGTAAGTATTTATATGGGTTTCTACATGTTTTCACCTCCTGCGACTATAAATGCTTTTGACGAAAAGTTGTTTTTGATTTAAATTCGATGTTTTGGAAACGAGACGCAGCAGGAAAACTAACCTCTTTTTAGAATAACCAGAATGTTTACGTGTCTCCAATGCGTGTTAACTATTCGCAAGTTTTTGTAAGTATTTTCTTTTTATTATTTCAAGACGGCTTCCAGTACATTAGTACCTCCAGCGAGGGGAAATTCACTGCTCTCGAAAATGAATTGAAAATACGTGAATGAAAAAAATACACAAAAATTCATCATGACTCGTCATTACTCAAAAAAAATGCAAAAAATACAAAATTCGGAAAAAAAATACACAAATATTCGACGAATAATAAAAATACACGATAATTCGTCATTTGCACGAAAAATTCGAAATTTGTACAATCAAAATGCTGAATTCGGACAAAATGCGTAAATTTATTATATTATATTTTAATTCGCGCTCGAATCACAATACAATGCATTAATGAGTAGGATTTCACCCATTTTTAAGAAAAGTGCATTAAATAAAAAACATTAATGAGTAGACCCAAAAATAAGTAACGAATGCGTAACAGCCTTGGTAACAGATGCTTATTAATGCGTAATGAGCGAGGTAAGGGGCTGTTCATGAACTACGGTGGGGGGGGGGGAGGGGAGTTGGCAATTATCCACGGCCCATACAAATTTTTAAAATTCTGTATGGACAATTGTCTACGTAAGGGGGTGGGGGGGGGGGGTCTCATAAATCCCAAAAATCTGTCTACGTAGTTAATGAACTGTCTCTAATGAGTTTCTTTCTTTTCTTTAAATTGGGTGAAATTGTACTCATCAGTGGGTATTTTAAAGTTAGCGTGTGCTGTGCATTTGTCAAACAAAACGTCAACATTGTGAGTTTGATCCGTTTGATTCTCGGTTCGAGCTGGGGGGAACGTGCTGTCAAATCAGCCTACTGATCATCTTGTATGAAACTGGTTCCAAACGTAAACAAATGCTGTAGGTTTCTTATGGATTGTTTACGTTTGGAACCAGTTATGCGAGGTAGGCGACGATTGTTCGTATTTCACAGCTACCTCCCCCTTGGGTTCGAGTGGTAAACATAAACACTGCAATGACAGAATACACTTATATCTGATTTTCAATACATTAATGCATAAAAATACACTTTCATTTTTCTAATACACAGAAAATTACATATATTCCAAAAGTGCAAAATAATACATTATTACCCAAAATACACGTTTATTCGATAAAAAATACTTCAATACGTTCATCAATACGTTGGCTTGAATCGAAAATACAGTAGTGAATCGCCCCTCGACCTCCAGCGAATTAGTTTTCCCGTTTTTCAAAACGACCTGATTGGAGCGACCAAAGGAAGTAACACGACGTAATTCCACGACTGAAAGGAACGATAAACCCGATTAATGCAACAAGGTAAGTGATGAGACCACCGTTTTCAATTCGTTCTAAACTTCAGAAGCGTTTTCACGAGTCACGACAGACTTAGCAAGCTATTTCTCTCGATTTCTCTTATTCGCATCAATCTGTCACGATCTTCCGGTTGATTTACAAATCACGCCTGAAAAACAAAAAACAATCCAGGCGAGCTTTGTTCTGCCTGTCAGGTAAATGGGAAGCCAAACAGCTCCCTGCAGTTGAATCCGTCTCACCACCCAGAAAAATAACACACAGCTCTGTTGTGGTTTTCGGGAAATCGGACAGGACAAATTTTTTTTCGGAGTGACGTGAGAAACTCAAGTGCAGGGCTTCCAAGTAACCTGACAAGCACAAGTACGGAGCCAGGTAAGCATCCACTCTGGATTTGATTTTTCTGACATTCCGGATCTCGATTGATCGGACAGAGCTGTGTGTTATTTTTTCTGAGTGGTGCAGTGCTCAACTGCAGTGAGCTGTTTGGCTTCAATGAGGTACAGAGAGAGGTGGAGCAGATCGTGAAATAGGGTTGTATTAGTAAACCAAAAAATCAACGTAAACGCAAGTAGTGACGTCACTACTTGCGTGTACTTGCGTGTATCGTACAGTGGTTGTGTGAGTGATTGCTTCACCTCGGTAATCCAGCTCATTGGTTTGGCTTCCCATTTACCTGACAGGCAGAACGAAGCTTGCATGGATTTGTTTTTTTCCTGACTTGATTTGTAAATCAACCTACCCTCCCCATGGACATGGAGGTTGACGGTACTGAAGCAAAGGGTTATGTTTAATTTCTTTATATTTGCAACGATGATGATTTCCCATAGTGACACATATCACCTTCTTAATGCTTCAGTATACCTCAAACGATTAATTCTTGGTTGTTAATAGAACTTCCTTGATGCAATCGGCTGCTTCATGCAGGCTGAGCAATTCTGATTATAGTATCAGATTTGTTCTGTATACAGAGGAACTGGGAGGGCTTATTAGAAACTTCTCACCAATAAAGTAATGGCCTTCTAGTAAATTTTGCATATCATTTTATTAATATTTTATTTTATTTAAGCATATTATTTTTGTTACAGTCAATTAGCATTAGCATACAATACAAGAGATTTAATATTACTTGCTCGGTTTTGCGTAAAATAATCAATATGTATTTTGCTTGTAATTACCTTTGAATTTTTTTTTGTGATTTCAAAATTTTCCTAGTTTGGTTAGAAGTTTCGAAGCTAACACATGTCCACAGGTCTAATAGAAAGATAGACTGACAAAGCGTATCATGAAGAATAGTTGCATGCAGGGTTGCTTCCACTCACTTTCTATAGATGAGTGATTTTCGGAGTTTTGAATTCGTTAGATGTTGTAATGGAGGTTTGTGTTGTTGAATGCGGGAGGAGATTGGAGGGCGGGTGTTTGACGCATAGAGCCTGTCAATTTCGCTTTCAGAGTGTCGCAGTCAGCGGTTTTATGATTCGTGAGCGCTCGCGATTCGTAGAATCGTTGATTGTGACTGCCAGTGGATTTGGCGGGTTTTGTGTGTCGGACGCTTGCTTTTTGGCCTTTTCTTGTGTCCAACATGTGCAGAGTATCATTATAGCGTCTAATGGCTTTGAGATTCCTGGTTGCGTGAAATATACTTGTGAGAATATCTTTTTGAGATTTTAGTAGTCACGTTTTGTTTGTAGTTCATATGTTATTTCTTTCATGTAATTATCGTAAATAATAGTTATTCAATAATAGATAATTCATCCATATATTCAATAATAAATTTACGAATGACTATAATTTGGATACCTAACAATTGGACAGAATCACTAGCAAGAATAGGTTGTGTTCGCCTTCGAAAATATCGATTCGTTTTTTCAGGGTTGTAGTTTTGGTTTTCATCAGTGGCCCGGCTCTGATTGTGAACGATTTAGGTAGTATTTTTAGGTAACTATTTACCTTTTAGCACAACTTTGCTACTACGAATCCACAAAAGACATTAAATTGGAGGCGGATTCTGGTACGGAATTACAGGCTGCTATTCTGAGCAACTTATCTTCATAAAATTAAAAATTACATTTTGGTATTAATTAGCAAATATGAATAGTAGTTAACTTTAACATAATTTTGATAAAACAATCATTTCATCCAGTTCACTTTAAAACCAACAAGTATGAAAGGAGATTGCTTAGAATAAAGATAAAAGTAATAAGCGCAATATTAAACGACATTAAATTTGAATCTGATACGGTAGGCCATATAACAGAGTCGATAGCCATTGCAAATCAACCATTTCTACCTGCTTATTTTCCCAACTTTCACTATTATTGCTGTTACTCTGACTATCCCCTATGTTCAACAGCTTTCCTTACTATCCGGTATCGTAAACAGGATTCATTTGACCCCTGTGGTTATTATTCTGTGATGCCAAATCTATACCTCTACCCTGGTGCAGTATGGACAGCGATTTTTCGTTGGTGACTTGGCCCTATGACCCCCTTCTGTGCTTGAAAATGAAATGAAAATGACTTGATTTGTAAATCAACCTAAAGATCGCGACGGATTTTAGCGAATAAGAGGAACGGCATGCTAACCCGCATAAACGCAAACCATCACTTGACCTTACCGATAATGGTTATAAATTGTTTATAATCCCTCCTTAACTTTAACTGAAATGGTTTTGGAACCTTACATGAACGTTTGTGTGATAAAGTTTTAACCTTATGTATTATGGTTTTTAGGAAGCAGACCTTACAAATAATGGGTCGTTAAGAACCATTACCATTCCAAATTCTTGTTTTCTCCATACATTTTCGGAAAGAGAACTATATTAGAACGTTTTTACTTATGGTTTGAGAACATTAATGATTATGGTTATGGTAGTCAGTAAGGTCCATTAATCGTTTTGTATTATCGCTCAACTTTACGTGGAATATATCGCGAACTGATAATTATTAATTTACAGGCAACCAATTCGCGATATATTCCACATAAAGTTGATCGATGTTACAAAACCATTCATGGACCTTACTGGTTATCATAACCATTACCATTAATGTTCTCAAACCATAAGTTAAAAGGTTTTAGTATAGTTCTCTTTCCGAAAATGTATGGAGAAAACAAGAATTTGAAATGGTAATGGTTATTAACAACCCATTATTTGTAAGGTCTGCTTCCTAAAAACCATAATACATAAGGTTAAAACTTTATCACACAAACGTTCATGTAAGGTTCCAAAACCATTTCAGTTAAAGTTAAGGAGGGATTATAAACAATTTATAACCATTATCGGTAAGGTCAATTTATGGTTCGCGTTTATGCGGGAAGTCTGTCGTGAAAACGCTTCTATCCTTCAAATTACAGTTTCATTTATTTGTTGCAGGCAGACGGAATTGAGGCTTCCAGTACATCGGACAGTTGCAAGTACGAAGCCCGGAATTGAATTTTCAAAAGGACTCCTTCAGTGTGTCCAAACGGAGGAGCGTTACGGTACAGAGGACGGGACTGAGTTTTCTTAGAGAAGACGGATTTGCAGTGAGTTCTTCAGCTTCCAGCATACCTAACAGGCAGTAGAACGAAGCCTTGATTTGTTTTTTAGAAGAACTCGATTTGTACGACTAACCCGAGGGGGACGATTCTATCTACGATGCAGGAAATATTGTGTTTTGCTGTGGCTAGCTGTGCGTACGCTGAGTAGATAGAAAGAAGATTTATCACGATTTTGAAGATTTCCTGCAAAAAGATGCAAGTAGATGTGAGGAATGAAAGAAGATTTTTCGAAGATTTATTCGCTAGTGTGAAATTTTTTGAGCATCTAGAATTGAGATTTAGATGTGTCGCCCCCCTCGGACTAACCAGAGGATCGTGACGAATTTCCGTGACCAACAGAAACGGCTTTCTAAGTCCGATAAGAGCATCAAAGTAATTGTCATGAAAATGTTTTTTTTTTCTTCAAAATCAAATATTTATTAATTTTTCAATTATCTTTTCTAGGCAGATGGTATTGGGGCGTCTTAATTGCTGGCAGTTGTTGCGGCTGACAAGACAAGATTTTTATTCGCCTCAGCGACGTGGCCAAGGTCAACTACAGGTGCTACAACGGCATCCACTTTACCTGACAGGCAGAAGTACTAAGCTTGGGGCCAGAGGAACTCGATTTGTGTGACAACGAAGAATCACGACGATAGATTTGTGCGATCGAACGGAGAGCCACGACAAGAAGAACGGTTTTTGATAAAGCCCAATTGAAGCAACATGGTAATGGTTGTGAACCTCTGTTTTACTTTAAATCTAAACTTTGAATAATCATATATTTTCAATATTTTTCAGTATTGTAGCGAGCCAGCTGCTGCGTGTTATTGTGGCATCCGTTAGTCCGCAATAATTGAACTACAAAGCTAGGAAAGCGTCCAACCCGGATTTGTTTTTCGGAGGAAAGAGAGGCATTTCGGCAACTTGAAGGAATTGTTGGCTTGAACACGTGTGAAGTGACCGAACCGAGATGGAAATTTTAGAGAAAAAGTTGGATGCTGCAAGTTTTCAGAAACATGTAGGTAAGTGGATTTAGCAATTTGTGTGTGTTAAAATCAGGCGTAAATTTGAAAATGACACAAAAGTAGTAAAGCCCTTTACACGCGAACCAAAGAACGCCCACGTAAATAAAAAACATAATATGGTAGCGGAAATTCTCCCCTTTTTGATAGTGGAATTGGTTTGCGTGAGTGTACTTCAGTTCACGTGTAAAGAGTCCTACAACTTTTGTGCCGTTTACAAATCTTACACCTGCAATGTTGTAGAAAGTAGTTTCCATTTCGACTAACAATTCTAAAAGTAAATTTCGCTACAGTGTGCACAAGATCTGCAAATGATTGATGTTTGAACATATAACAAAATCTTACGATTTTTAATATCCAGTGTAATCTCTCCAACTTGATACTACATAAGTTGAACGGATTCTGAACCACGAAAATGTCGCTAGGCCTTTTTCAAATATTACGCGTGATTTATCCTGATTTTTTTAATCACCGAAAAAAGTTTTCATATAGCTTCCATTGGGAACGCGCATGATAATTTTCCAATAACAAAATTAATGATTTTTATCTGAAATTCACTTAACATTCATATGATCACATGAATTTTATGTGATAAATCACATACATTTCATTGAAAACATAAGGTTCATTTTGTAGTGCGATTCCCAATTATGAGATCACATGAAAGTTATGTGAAATTCTAATGGATATTTTCCATTGAAAATGTGATTTATTGTTTGAGTGTACTACACTTTCATTTGTTTAATACTTCAACAATACTCTTATGCCTTGTTCAGACTACAGAGTTATAACATGTTATAGCGCTATCTTGATGGTGGTTTCTGTGTTGCAATTATTTGACAACCGTTATAACATGTTATAACTCTCCAGTCTGGACAGCGTTGTAAGCGCTGGCCCTCGCACAGGCCAGACTGAACAGTTATAACATGTTATAACGGTTGTCAAATAATTGCAACACAGAAACCACCTTCAAGATAGTGCTATAACATGTTATAACTCTGTAGTATGAACAAGGCATTACACTAATTTTACCTTTTCATTGATACACATTTAAGGGCTTCAATGTCATATACATGGCTGTAACCAAGTTATTGCTGGATATATCGATGAACTCAGAGATCATTACGTGTCAGTTCATAAACTCCGGACAAGCAAAAGGGCGTCGTTTCCTTTCAAGTGTTGTATATGTGGACGAATATACAGCTATTTTGTTGATTTTAAAAAAACATGTTATTTTGCATCATCCACCAGAAAGTGATCATTTACATCATACCACCTGCATACCTGATTCTCTTCCAATAGTAGTCGAAGAAGAGATAAATGAGATAAATGATTCCAGCGTTCCAATCCGGAACCCTTTTTACTACAACAAATCGGTTTCTCTAGAGGAAGCTTCATGTGCTATAATTGATAGTATTACGGAACTGAGGTGTGACGTTTCCCTTCCAGAATCCAAATTACAAAAGTTTATAACTGGGTTTGTTTCCATACTGAATTGGACCCAGAGTTATACCACTTCATTAGTGAAGCAGTACATAGAAACTAAAATGTTACCCATGGATGCAACTACTGTTGAGTTTATAAATGCCTTGCATATTCCCAATTTTACTAATGAAGTACGTACTCCAAGGGATAATATTGCCTACTTATCCTACAAAGCAGGTTGTGCTATACCAGAACCGATTGAAATTGTATTGAAAAAATACAAAACAACGAAACGTGTTCTGATGGTACATAGAAAGGCAAGAAAATTTCAAGGAAGGCTATCTAAAAACCATTCCGTTTTAAAGGTAATAAAACATAAAGACGTTGCTTATTATGTACCGATTATAGACACATTAAGGCTTATTATGACAAATCCCGAGGCACGAGCAATGCTGGAAAATGAAAAACCACGGACAGATGGATCACTTCACTCTTTTAAGGATGGACGGAAGTTTGGGAACCATCCATTTTTGCAACGTTTTCCCGACTGTGTAAGATTGTCATTTCATATTGATGAAGGAGAATACAACAACCCGCTTGGCTCAAGGAAAGGTATCAACAAGATGACGAACTTATACATGAAAGTAGAAAACTTTGATCCGAAGATCAATTCAGCTTTAGATCGAATGTATGGTCAAAGCTAGTGTTTTAAAAAAACACGGATACGCTAAGGTGTTCCAGCAACTGATTGATGACCTCTTGGTTTTGGAGTCCGATGATGGTGTGACTGTGACTACCGACACAGACCGGTGGATTTTGCGAGCAGTAACGTGTAATATACTTGGTGATACTTTAGCGATACACGAAATCTTCGGATTGTTGAGTCCATCAGCAAATTTTTTTTGTAGGATGTGTCTTATAAGTAGAAAGGATTTACATGAAGGTTGTTATAATGACCAGTTCGAAGAACGGACAGTTGAAAGTGTCGATTCAGATGTAACTAGTATACAAAATAATGAAAAATCAAGTTCACAGTGCGGGATTAAGGAACAATGTGCATTACATCGGCTTCAATACTTCAGGTGGCCGAATAACTGCAGTTTTGATCCGATGCACGATTTATTAGAAGGAATATTCCCGATGGTATTGAAGAAAATGTTTCAGCAAGTTGTTTTCCACAAGAAAATTATGACGGTGCTTGAAATAAACCGTTTAATTGAAGAATTCGAATATGATACCGCTGAAATTTCTAACAAACCTTCCCCTAATTTTTCTTTGCAAAACTTGAGATCAAAATCCAATGCACTTAGCCAATCTGCGTCGCAATTGTGGTTATTATTACGTGCATTCCCTTTCATTTTTGGTAAAATTCTAGGCTCAAATAATTTGTTTCCTGATTTAATATCCTCTATGCTTAAAATATCATACATTTGCTTCTCAAACAATCTAACCCAAGACATGATAAATGACCTACAGGAAACCATAACTGAATTCCATCGTCTGTTCAAAAGCTGTTTCCCAACAGCGATAGCTATAAACAAAATGCATCACATAGTACATTACCCAAAAATATGCAGAGAAAATGGCCCAATATGCAATTTAAGTTGCCTCATGTTTGAGGCGAAGTTTAAAGAATCGAAGGGTCAAGCTAAAACTTGTTCCAATTTCAGAAATTTAACTTACAGTTTAACAAAGCGTTTAAGCACAGACAAACAGACATAACTCTCGCAATTTGTTCATCGAACAAGCATTTAACGGTCAATTAAAACGTATCGTAGTTGGTAGTACCGCCACCTGTGGCGCGCCTAGTCATTTCCCTTGAGTTTGACGTTTATACACTACCGCCATCTGTTCAGCGTACTACCTACCACAGTGTACTCAACAGATGGCGGTAATGTTTTAGCGACGATGTTTTACAGTGAGAAATATTCAATGTGTTATGTCTGTTTGTCTGTGGTTTAAGCATTAAGCAAGCTAATTCCATTATAAACCACAATTTTGTCATCGATAATCCAGAAATATTGTCATTTTCAATAACTGATAAAAACTTAATCGACACTGCTGCACTACTTTTTGATCTTCCAGACAAAATTGAAGTTATTTCGCATTTAAAGATAAACGGAACTTCGTTTACCCCAGGTAGTATAGTAAAATATAAACTATGTAGTGAGGGATACTACGGTATACTATTAGCTTGTATAAAACACGAAGCAAATATAATTGTCCTTGTACAAGAGCTGGAGTTGATGGAATTTAATCGCTTGTATTTTGCATACAGAGTTGTCCTTTCTAATAACATTGTAAGAATTAATCTAGATAAGCTTTCTACTCAAAAATCATACAGCCTTTGGAAAACATATGACGAAGAAGATGATACTTTTTTTATTAGTCTCAAGTATAACGACGAGTAGACAAACACTTGTTGTACAAAATGTATGGAAAATACTTTAACTACCCTATTAACTATCATAGTTATGAAAAAATCAACATGTTCAAAGAAATTAAATAATTGTAAACGCAATAAATGTTAAACAGAATAATCTGAATTCTCAATCGACAACTTTATTTAAATGTTGTGATTTCCATTCGACCTAATGAGAATAATTCATTGGATTAAACTTAGATTAAAACAAAAAAGAGCACCATTTTATAGTGAGATCTCTTTTATTTGATCTCTCCATAACACGATATTCTCCTCGAATCAAATCCAGGCCACTTTGACCACTTTTCCCATAAATTTCAAAAATTTACCACCGTTACTCTATGGTACCTTCAATGTCTAGTTAGGGAGAGTTAGTTGTATAACACTTTCTCTTCTAGTCAATAAAATAAGCGACGAGTCGTTGATGCATTTGAATGATGAAGATCTCTTGGAGATTGGTATTTACGAGAAAGGTCCACGGAAGCTGATTTTAACATATATTGAGCAAAACCAAGGTGAAAGCAGTATGATCGAGAACATCCCAGCTAACTTCCAAAATACAAACAATTCAGAAGAGGTAAGTTAAACCACTTGAGCCGTTCTTTGATGTTCCGTATTTATATTTATTTATTTTTACTATTCTTTCAGACCATTCGTTCCATTCTTACGAAAGAACCTAAATTCATAAAAGTACTTACTCGTCAGCTTGACAACCAAGTCGTACCAGCAATTAAAAATCTACGGCATATGAATCGTATTTTAACGAACCACTATTTTGAACGTAGAATAATCAGAGAACAAAGGTTTGTTTGAATTGTGACCAAAATAATTATCCTCGGATTAAATTCCGATCAAGAATGTCGATACAGAGTTAATAAACACGACTCTCAGCAAACATTTGGCAGATCATCCAAATAGGGTTGGTATTAATCTAGATCGGGATTTAATCCGAGGATAACACCGGTTGGAGCTTACCTCCATAAATGTTCTAACAGCTAGGGCAAACGTACTAATTTTCGACATTTTTGCACAAAAATGGGCCCAAAATAAACCTTTGATCATTACATAAATACGTAATTAGCATATTGTGGATGTACCTGACATTTTGATAACGAAACACTAACATATTAGTTTTGATTTTTTTAAACAGTTTTGTCCTGTGAATTCCATTGATTTTAATTTGAAATCTTATTAATTTGAAATTACCTTATTCACTAGATATCCGTCGTGGCAAGAAAAACAGGAATTGGCTGAACGTATTATTGATGAATTTCCACATCTTGAGAAAACAAGGATGAGTGCTGATGCGCCAAGAGAAGTAAGCAATTTATGATTTCATTTTCAATATGTGACACTTTAATAAATACTACATGTTTTCTCAAGTCCTTCTTTTTCTGGCGATACGGAGGCAACGGAAAAGGATCTCATGCTGGACTAATAGAAACACGAGTGGCAAACATGAGAAAGGATGTTCCTTCAGATGAACGTTTGTTTCAGAGGCAAAAAAAAGTGAAAATTGTACTACCAGATGGGATTCATGAAATGGCAGCAAAATTAGCAGCTCTAACTGGAAATGCTCAAAATGGAAAACTGGTTTCAGGTGGAATGGAACAGTGCTTCTTACTTCATCAGTATTTATTACAGGAGGGTGGAGACAACATGGTTCAGGAAATAATGACAACTTTTCCACATCTTCTCGGTTATGATGGAGTGATGGTAATAACTCACGATATTCTGAATGAAGCAATTCGGTAATGTGATTTTTTCTGTTTCTTTTATTTAATAGATTCAACAAGCTTACGAACGTCTACATACAAATTATAACGCACAGGCCAACATCGAAGAATTCTTGTCGATTGGATTGCTTATGGATCAAGGCGGTTGGAACAATATCACCGATAGTAATTACATACCCCTCTATTCTACGAGTCACGTGACTCTATGTCACCAGTGAGGTGACAATTGTCACCAGTTGACTCTCCATTTGATTTACAGAGTCACCTCGTACGAAGTGCGAATTGTCACCCCACCAGATGGCGGATAGTTTGATTAAATATTGTATGTCAATATTTGATCGTAACCTTAAATATCACCCTTATGGTTTAAAATTAGTATATACATTTTAATAGTACTAACTATATTCTAAAAATATATCTTTTTGCAAACTTAGTTTCTGTAAATGCATGTTGTCTATGGTTGAATTTAAACATTGGTTTTGATAAATAAAACATTTTTATTGCAATTTAGTAGTAATTTATAGAAAGTATTCTAAGCATATAACATATAATGAATAATATTTCTATTACTTTGAACACCCTGGTGTATTATACTAACAATTTATTATTTTCTTCATTCAGAGTACGTTCGAGGCGCATTGAGAATAATCAAAAAACTTACCAGTCGGGGCATAAAACGAAGTTCGAATGATGAATTCATGACAATGGAGGAAATTATGGCTTTGCCGTTGATTAGATGGATGAAAGTAAGGCATTCAGTTCAGTTTATTTGCAATAACTAATTTTATGTTTTTCTTTATTGCAGCCCGATCCCGAAAAAACTGACCTTCAGGTTGTCCAAGTAGCCAACATCACCATGGTGGATAAAGATCCCCACATAATTTGTGTAGCGGAACAATGCAACGAAGGAAATCTTTTTATTGTATTCAGGGGTAACACTATCGCCTGCGATCGATCTTCGTCGAGGGCCATTGATGTTTGATGTTTTTGGTATTCCAGTTCCTTCACTTTTGAAGAAGTTCCATGAATTTGCTTCGTTTTACTTGTTTAAAACAGCAGCATCTTGTAAACGTACAAAAGTTGCTGAACTTGCCAATGTGTTCAAAGAGTACGAAGAAAATCCGTAACTGAGTAAGCTAAGCAAGCTTTTAATGTATATCTTAAAAAAAGAATACATTAATTAAAAATACATGAATAATAAAAAGCTTAATACAATTTGATAAACTTTAATTCTTGTCTTTTATTTCACTAAACACAACTGAAAAGCTTCTTCTTCTGATTGAACCATTGTTTTAAAAGTTATATTTTTTATGAATATGGTCGAAATTTGGGTAAAAAACACCCAACCACTGTAAACAAATATGGTTGAAATTTGGGTAAAAATTACTCATGTATACCCTTTGGTACGAGTACTCAAAATTGAGTACATTGGACTTTACCTACTTTTGGCTTCCAATACTATAGTACCTAGTTGGGTGATAAGAACCTAATTTTGGGTACTTTTTTCTAACCGTGAAGGGAGGCAGCTCCCACACACATCGACCCATCAACTCAACCGGGGACCAACGGCTTTACTTCCCGAAGGAAGGCGTGATCAGAGATGTTATGCCTTAAGCAAACCCCACACGGTAAGAAATATTGTCAATACTTACAAGTATTGACAATAATATTGATGATGTGAATTCAGAAATATTGTCAATCTCGATGTATTGACGTCAATATAGAATGTATTGACAATACGATTATTGTCAATAAAAGCAACCGTGTAGGGTCCACTTTAGAACATGCCGGTGGCGCCGACTGAGATTGGACCCAGGCCTGCTGGGGTGAGAGGTAATCACTATAACCACCGGTGCCGATATCTTTCAAGGTGATATCACGGCGAATGAGATCGACCCAAATTTGAGTTTAGTTATCTCAGAAATAAGAAATAAAGTGCAGGAACTCAGCGATGAGTAAATTTGCCTCATGTTTTCCCAGGTTTTTCCAGGGAAAAATTCCCGAATTTGAGAAAAGTAAAGATTGAATTCCCTCAGTCTATTGGTACTACTCCGAGACTAAATAAAATTTTCGTCAATTTCCTCATTTTCTAGCAGATTTTTTAGGTTTTCCACAGGAAACCATGAGACAAATTTACTCATCACTGAGTTCCTGCACTTTTGGCAATTATGAGTGAACTAAACTCAAATTTGGGTTGTTCTCATTCGCCGTGTACGCAAAAGAAAAAGAGTCACTGTCGCTACTTGATAGCAAACTACTCATAATGGCAGGAGCAAGGAATCAAAAATATCTCCAAATGACAGGGCCATCAAGCTTACATCAGTAAAGAGTTGGAATAGAATTTATCTCTGCTTGTTTGTCCATATTCAGAACCACAAGCCCCCAACGACCACACAAAATGCTGCTTGGAAGCAGGGGTGCAAGTGATTTTGAGTGATTCTCTTAATCAACTTTCTCTTTGAAAAAAATTACTACAAATTTGGTACGCCTACAATTCAAAAACGGAAAGAGTTGAGATAATAGACAATTGATCAATTAAAAGAACTAAATGCTCTTCACATTTATTCCGTCCACTAGCGGTCCTACGTCAAGCTTCCGTTCGTGCCCCTAGGCACAGACCCTTCTACTTTTTTCCGAGGATTTCTTATTCTTACTACTGTGTTACCTGACTTATAACGAATATACGTTCTATACGAGTACCCCGAACACAACGTATAGTTCGTCTAATTTTACATTGCAAATGCTATGAAAATTAGACGAGTCATACGTTGTATTCGGGGTACTCGTATAGAACGTATATTCATTATAAGTCAGGTAACACAGTAGAATAAATTTGAGAGTATTGCAATCGAACAGAAATTCAATCACCTTTATGTTTTGTGAGCTTCTCAAATTCAACTAGTTTTTGGAACCAAAAACAATATTCTAACTCTATTGATTAATTGATCTTCGTTGGTTAATGAATGGCACCAAGAAATGTGCAAAATATTGCGATGCAACCAATTATCATTTTGCACGTAAATCGAATCAAAAATAAAAGTAATTTGAAATGCTAGCTTCTAGCAAGGGTTGCAAGATAATTTATACCCCGTTCACATTACAGCCTATATCACGTAATATAGGCTGTCTTGCAATGAGCACTCATACATAGGATTTCCAGTGAAAACTATGTATGAGCAGTGTTGGCAAAATCAGAAATCAATTGATATGTTTCCGCTCTCATGCGCTCGCAATATCACGCATGATATTGTAACAAAATATCATGCTAGATATTGATTTTACAAGCTCCTTTGATATTGCGAGACTATTCACAACATGCCAAAATCAAGCTGAGAGTTGACTCGACACAAAAATGATTCCGATGCACATCGTTTACTTAGAAAGAGAAAGTACAGTATGCTATTTCTTTTTACTCTTCACCGATGGCAGACACAAAGCGACTGCTGCCAGCCGTTATGGAAGTTTCGGTTGGATTCGGGTGTAAAGCAAAAATTATGAAACTCAATCTCACCACAGTTTGCTGAGATTTGCAGCTGGTGAGTTTTGTTAGCTTGATATTCCGAGCTGCGATATCACAGCTTGCAAAATCAACCGCAGTTGTTTGCTTGTTGATTTTTGTCCACGAAAATCAAGCGTGATCTTGGGCGTTGGTGAGATTTGATTTTTTGATATTTTTCCAACACTGTTTATGAGTATGTATGTATGATGTATGAGTGCTCATTGCAAGACAGCGTATATCACGTGATATACGCTGTAATGTAAACGGGGTATTAGGAACAAATCCCTGCTGCCGAATTGTATTTTGTTTTCTCCGCCTATCTCTCCCTCTGAGTATTTCTAGTACAGAGACCGACGTTAAATAAAGGAATGAAGAAGAAATGAGATTCTCGCCTATAAGATAGCGTTCTTGGTTTGCGTGGGCATACTTCGGTTCGCGAGAAAAGGGCCTTACAAGATTTGTTTACAAAAGATGATTGGGCCTTTTCAAATGTTACGCGAGATGTACCAAAACCGTTGCGTTGATTGCCGATGGAGTTTTAAGCGGTGTTCTTCTCCTAGAATCCTCGATAAATGGTAATAACCATTTGAGACCAGGGCCACATATTGCGTAGCTCGAAACGAAACATTGTTTTTACGAACACGTTCGTTTCGAGCTGCGCAATGTGGCCCCAGTATTTTTACTGCTTAAGATCAGGCCGTTAGGAATTGGGAAAAGGAAAGCGGGCTAATACCCCGTTCACATTACAGCTTATATCACGTGATATACGATGTCTTGCAATGAGCACTCATACATCTAGTTTTCACTGGAAATCCTATGTATGAGTGCTCATTGCAAGACAGCCTATATTACGTGATATAGGCTGTAATGTGAACGGGGTATAAAACTCCATTCACAAACAACGGCACCTTTATGCTTATTATATACAATTGTGCCCGAAACTATTTTAACTCACTTTTACAAAGCTCCAAACCTTTCAGGTGAGTGTGACTATTGTCGGCAACCTATTTTTATTCGGCAATCTTACCATTTGAACACTGCGTTTTAACCAGGTCTCCTATTGTCGGAAACTCGAAATCAGCCTCATTTTTTAATGCAAAAACCTGGTAAAATGCGTTTCCTAAGTCGTAAACATGTAACATAATGAAGCTGAATGACTAATGAATCATCTAAATACATTCAGCAAAGTGTTTTAATGAGAAAATCCAGTGAGATTAACGTTTTAATTTTGGTTGCCGAAAACAGTTACTGCCTATGGAAGCCGTCATTTGTCCTATATTGATTCAATTTTTTTTTTATATCGTGGACTTCTTGTACTTGTAAACGAAGGATTTCTCTTATTTCCAGTTCAAGAAAGTACGTATTCACAATTGCTTTTAATATTTCAACAAATTATTCATCTTCGCGGCACAAAATCCTCATCCTTAGCATCATCGTCGTCCAGACCCGAATCTTCGTTCTCTTTTTCTTCATCATCATCCCCATCACTCGCCGCTTCCTCTGTTCCCTTCACTTCATCCTTTGCCTTAAGCGCTTCCACCCGTTTCTGTTCGGCAATTTGCTGCTCCACCACTGCACTGTTCGATCGGTGATGGAACACAAATGAAACGCACTTGGTCATGTCCCACGACTTGGACAGGATGTCGTCTGGGATACCCTTGTTGTTCGAACAGTGGTACCAATGGGAAAGGTCCGATGTGCAATCACTTTCCTCCGGTGGCAGCTTGATCTGGATGTTGTTGACGCACCGTTTGCACTTGAAACTGTGGGACATATAAGTGAGTTGACAGGATTTGTGCAGCAAATACAAAAAAAAAGGAACTTACATTGAATGGGTATCGGAAATGGTCGTTTCGTCTATTTTGAACAGATGTTTAAGGTCATCTTGGGTGAAGTGTCGTTCGCCGTCCTCGTCGTTATCAACCACAGTATTCGAGAGAGCTTTTTTGTGCGTTTGGCGTTGGAAAATCTTTTCCTCAATTGTTCCCGTCTGGAAATTTAAAAAAAAAAAGGAAAAACGACATTAAATCGAGAACCAGTGCGGATAAAACGAATGGAACCTACAGCCAAAAGCCGATAGATGAAGCAAGGCTTTTTCTGTCCATCACGCCAGACTCGAGCCATTGCTTGTTCGTCGTTAGCCGGATTCCAATCCGGGTCGAACATCACCAGTCGATTCGCGCCAATCAGATTCAGACCGCAGCCACCCGCCTTGGAGCTGAGCATGAAGATAAACTGCTTCGATTCGGGTTTATTGAACTCATCCACGACCTTTCCACGTTTCTTGATAGTCATCGATCCGTCCAGTCGAACGTACGCGTACCCACGTTTTCGGGAGAGTTTTTCAAACAGATCCAACGTCTGGGTATAATTCGACACCAGCACAATCTTGTCGTTGGTGTTCATTTTGATACTGGCCAACATACAGTCTAACACCATCAATTTCCCTCCGAATTCCGGTCGCAGCTCTTTTGAGTTGTAGTTGCTCGGAAGAATCTTGTGTGCATTTTCGAATCCCTCAGCCCGTTCCTGGATCTTCTCGTACACCAAATCAGGATGGTTGCACAATTTTTTTAACGACGTTATATTCGAGAGTGCGGTCAGACTAGCTTTCACCTGGGTCTTCTCCAACATACTCCGGCGGATCGAGTCCGATTGGAGGAAGCTTTTGTACAGTTCATTTTGGACTTCGGTCATTTTCACGCAAACGACCATTTCAAATTTAACCGGTAGGTACTTGGTTAGCAAGGAACTTGTCCGCCGGATCATGCAACGGTTGACCTGAGCAGTCAGCTCCTGAAGTCGTTCCGTTGCCTTCTGCCGTTCGGATTCCGTTGCATTTGCATCTTGGCCGCGAAGAATCGGGTTTTCGAATTGACGACGGAATTCCTAAAAATACGATTGACAAATATTTTCATACAATTTCTTCCCCCTTTATCCGTTTAAAGATACTCACATTAGTACTACCGAGCATTCCAGGATTTACGAAATGCAACAAACTGTAATACTCCGTCAGATCATTCTGAATCGGCGTTCCTGAGAGCAGAACCCTCCGTTTGGTCTTCAGTCCCATCAACGCCTGGTAGGTGAGATTTTCGCAATTCTTCAATCGATGACCTTCGTCGCACAGTACGGCTCCTACATCGGAGTTGTTCAGAATGTGCGCATACAGCCGGAACGTTTCGTAGCTAATAATCAGAACCGGTGTCCCATGTCGCATACTCTGGTTGGCCATAAACTGTTCCAGTTCCTTTGTAGTATGCTCCTTCGAGCCGCCGTCGATGGCTAAACAATTGACCCGACATCCGAGCCACTTGCCAAACTCCTTGTCCCAATTCTTGACCAGAGAGCTGGGACATACGATGATCGCTTTGTTGATGGTAGGCTTACAATCCGGACTTTGGCGCAACAAAGTCCAAAGCAGCGTTATGCACTGCAAAGTTTTCCCCAATCTGCAACAAAAATCCTCATCACTCTAAAAAAACATCCCCAAACGACAAACCAACTCACCCCATTTCATCGGCCATAATACACCCTTGGAAATCGCCATACTTGCCCGTAACGCACTCGTACATAAACCGAACACCTTCGCGCTGATGAGGCCGTAGTATGTTTCCCAACAGGGGATCAACGACGACATGAACCTGGATTTTGCCGGAATCCGTCTTCAGCTTGTCATGTGCCGTCAGTTCCTCCGGCGTAAAAAGTACCAGTGCATTGCAAGCGTACGGATCGTGAAGCGCACGTCTGGCTGCGGGACGCTTCATGCCCAAGCAACGGGTTGTGTGCTCCGGAACATAATTTGCTATCGGGATCTTGAACGCACGGGACAGGATTTTTTGGATCATCATTTCGTACTCCGAAGCGGTGAGCTTCGGAGATGGAGGACCCGTGTCCTTGATTTTGTCCTTCGATCGATCTCGGCATTCTCGAGAGCGTTTATTCGATACTGTAATCGGAGATTTAAAGGCCGAATTTACCGGAGTGAGGACGATGCTTTGACTAGGTGCCGAAGTTTTACGCTGGAAACCGTTGGTATAATTATCGTTATAACATAACACATACACTGCTACTTTAACTTACCATTTCGAGCAAGGATTTGGCAGTAAAATATTGGAAAAATTACTCGAAATAACAAACTTTCCCTTTATTAAAAAGCTGCACTGTGAACATGTTTTGGTTTCTGCTAAAATTTGAAACTGACAGAACAAAGCTTGACGAACGCGCCAAGGAGGGACACGCTATTTCTAAACAACCCTAATTTGAGTACGATCTACTCATACAGTCAAAAGTAGGGCTACCCAAAATGAGTGAACAAAGCTAGGACTGAAAAGATGACAAATGAACAACATCGTCCTGAATCGATTTTGTTCACTTGTGGTCATGTCAGTTCTAATTTTTTTTTTATCATTCTAGGTTAGCCCTATTTTCGATGGATATGAGTAGATCCTACTCAAATTTGGGTTGTTTAGAAATAGCGTGAGACAGATTCCGTCATTAGGTTTTGCACCGTCGGGATTAACCTCAATCTGATGACAGTTCAGTGGTACTGTTTACGTGGACTTAGTCGTTTTTTTTCTTGGGTAGATTTTCTCGATAATTTTTCAAACTGCAGTGAGATGTAAACCACACTTCTGCATTGTCCACGAGCAACATCCTTTCATCGTGCTGTTCCTCGACAATTTTCAAGTTGAAGTTCGGTAATTTTAGAATATTTAATTTCGAAAAAACGACTAAGTGCTTGTAAACAGTACCACTGAACTGTCAAAAAGGTTCAGCCTATTAAAACTGAGTTCATTCTTGACGTCACGCTGCAGAACCTAATAGCAAAGCGTTCGCGGAATATTTAGAGCATCTCCTCCGAAGTCTACTAGCTGTATTCCATGTGGAAATTTTTTCCTTAAATTTTACAAATAAAACCAAATGGACAAAACACAATACGTATGTACCATAAAACCCATAATTAAGGTATATTTTACCGATGGAAGACGTGGATATTTACCAATATTCTGAGTAAGTTGTTTTTACCTACAATTGCGTGAAAATTTTGTCACTGCCGAGCAGGGTTGCTTGCACTCACTTGCTATGAAAAAATGTTTTTTGGAATTATGAAATCATGAGATATTAAAATGATAATTAGTACTTGTAAGTTACAAGAAAAGGTAGTAAACTAAGTGTTTGACACATAAAACCTGTCAATATTGCGTTCAGTGCGTCACAATCAGCAATTTTATAATTCGTGAACGCTCACTCTGAGTGAACGCTCACGAGTCATAAATTCGCTGATTGTGACCCAGTGAAAGCAAAATTGACAGGTTTTATGTATCAAATACAGACTTTCCTACCACTTCTTGTATCTGATAAGTACAAAACATCATTTTAGGATCTAATGATTCCATAACTTCGAAAAACATTTTTTAGAGAGAAGTGAGTAGAAGTAACCCTTCTGTTGAGCTAACGAGCCAAAACAAGTTCTAATTTTTGTTTGCGGTTTACTACTCCTAAACTAGTTACAGGTCAGTAAACTTAATCATAAAATACGCGAATCGAAGTGCATTCAATCGATTATCTGGACTCATACTTAACCACACTTCTTTTTTCCTTTTCTTTTTCTAATATCTAGCTACCAGTTCGAAATACGTGGACTCATTCTGCTATTAACAGTTGGCCGATAAGCCTGACAGCTAGACCAGTTGATGATCGGTCAATCGGTCGCTCCGGTAACCGGCTGCCTGCAAGCGGAGTACGGTTCGCATCTTTCCTCCCCAAGGTAAGTCTGCCAAGTTAGAAATTATTAAATATATCATAAATCCCCACGAGTAACAGGCCGACAAAAATACGGACGATTATCACGCCGAAACCGAAAGTAGTAAAGTGATCAACAGTGATTGTAACATTTCGTTTACTTTTTCTCAATTTCAGTAACCGACAGTCAACATCAAGCGCAGCAAGTATCCAGTGGGTTATTCCACCCAGAGTCAGGTAAGCCTTACCAAGAAGCTTGTCAAATCCAGTCATTTCGGAAGCTTTAATTCGCTTTTAATTTGTTGTTTTGAAAATAAAATACTTGAGCATAACCCTGATTACATTTTTAAACCCATTGCAGAGATTGTTTTCGTATACACAAAAAATAATCGTTAATAAAAGTAAAAAAAAAAACATTGGTAAAATTAAAAGTTTGCGTTGGTTCTTTTTAGTAAAAAGCGGTTAGCTTTCAACACGAAAGTCAACCAATTGTCTAATTAAAAGTTTTCCGTTCACTACTTTTAAAAGCTGAAACTTTTAAAATGAATTGTACTACTGTCAAATGAAAAGCATGGCAGTATTGAAATTAAAAGTGGATTCTTTTCAATTCAAAACAAATTTTTGACATGAATATGTGGTAAATTTTAAATAATATGTACTGTTTTGATTTACATAAAAAGTATTTTCAATATAAATATTTATATGCATTTTAAAGATTATAAAATCATTTTTAGTTTTCAATTCAAAATAATATTAAATCCAAATATTTTTTTTTATTTGATAAATAAAAATCTACAAACACAAAAATATATTTATTGTGTCAGTTCTATATTCGATGCCGGTACGCGTATAATCGTCTTACGTAGGCTCCACGCCACAGCTGATGAATGCTCTATGTGTAGCCGAATAGGGTCGGATTCCAGGAAATAGCTACCACATTCAGCTCAGAACAGCTGCCCCGCCAGCCAAGATGAGACCAGGGATTCTTCAGTTGAAGTTTGGCTCCTACGATGTCCAGCACGGCATAAGTATGGGTTGATGAGAGTCTCCTACGTTGGGTTCTACATCCATTATCCATCAGCGACGTTACGAGCGCAGAAAAAGACCACACGTGAACAAAAACCCATGAAGACAAGATCAATTTTCAGCATCTCAAATCAAAACAAGAAACCTCACTCACTCTTGCACGAGTTCAGGGAAAGCTCTACTGTTCTGAAACTTCCCAACAAAATACCTAACGCGATCGCTTGTTGAATCCAATAATAAAGCATCCACACTACTGCCGGCTGATCTCCATCCGTTCTTGAGGCCAGGCAGGATGATGAATAAAATAAAATGTCTGTAGACAGAAGCAAAACATGAGGTTCTCGATGTCAATGTCGGTGCTGGCTGTTTCGAAAATTGACTAGAGAATAGACGAATCAATGGGGCTGTGAAAAAAGTTATTTTTTTAAATATTTGTGAACCTGGTGAAGAAGCGTTTTTTGACATTTTTAAAATTAATTACTCACTCAATATCCGTGGTGGCTTTTACAACAACCAGAATTTGTAAAATTTCTAACGGCTGGGAGAAAGGACGGTGCTGCTGCTGCAAAAATATACGGAATACATTTTGGCGCGAAGTAAACGGCTAATGAAAGTTCAGTGCTGCTAGTAAACAAATCGATGTGAAAAGGTATTTGACAGTTGAACAACTTTCCTTGTAAAAAATGCACTTTTAAAATTACAAGTCATAAGTGAAAAAAACATTTTCAAACAAAAAAATTAATTTTCATTTTGCATATTTTCGCAGTTAATGCCGTGGTTAATATTTAGAATTTTGGCAACCTTTCAATATAAAAATACATTATTTTTATTGATGCAATTTTTGTTGTTTGTGTTACTACCATGTGGAAGCTAATACCCCGTTCACATTACAGCGTATATCACGTGATATACGCTGTCTTGCAATGAGCACTCATACATCTAGTTTTCACTGGAAATCCTATGTATGAGTGCTCATTGCAAGCCAGCCTATATTACATGATATAAGCCATAGTCTGTCCGGGGTATAAAACAGCAAAAAAAAAACTTATTTTCGGTAAACACAAACGATATAAAAAAACGTAAATATTACCGTTCACGCTAATCCACCATCAATACCTATTTATAGGTATTCGATTCTTACCGATAATGTACACTAATAAAATTCCGCACATTTTTATTGACGAATTTCCATGTGAAATTCCAAATGATTTTCATATGACCACACATAAACAGAATCCACCCAGAATCACACATAAAATTTATGAGTCAAATGAATAGTATGTGTGGTTAAGGCCGGCGCACAATAGATACGTTTTCGGGTTTTTTGACAGATAATGCATGGGCTAACTGTCAAAAAACCTGAAAATGTATCTATTGTGCGCCGGCCTTTACACTTGGCTTTTATGTGTACACATATTAAGTATGTGTCCGACACATAAATATTATTTCTTGATCACATTGCAAAACATTCATGTGTGGGACACATAAAAACAATCTTTGAAATTTTATCAGTGTACACTCAGAAAATATTCAAATCTAAATAATATAAAAGCTACGCTAATACCCCGTTCACATTACAACGTATATCACGTGATATACACTGTCTTGCAATGAGCACTCATACATCTAGTTTTCACTGGAAATCCTTTGTATGAGTGTTCATTGCAAGACAGCCTATATTACGTGATATACCCTAATAAAAAATAACCATAAACGAACGATAACCCAAATCATTGAACTATTCCACAAATGGTTTGGATGATACCCAGAACACATCGTTAAGCAAATTAACCATACAATTTTTATTAGGGTAGGCTGTAATGTGAACGGGGTATAAATCGCAACTCTCCCGACCGACGCATAGCTCGGTATAAAGGGAGAAAATACATACTTAGTATAAAAGTTGTTTATACGGACGCGAGTATAAACCTATGTTATGTCCACTTTGTATAGTTTGACTTTATGCTTGAGTTGCTTATTCTGGATATATCTGAAGGGTGATAATATTTTTTTGTTTTCTTTCACAGTTAAATTAAATAGAAGTTTGCAAAGCACACAAACATTTCTAGAGAAAATTACAATATAATAATTGGTTACAGCGTAGTGAGTTTCAATCGATGTTCTGCAGAAGGAAGTCGTTGTATCACGGCAGGATCTTCCATTTGACTACTGCAACAAGAGTTTTCTTAGTGCGGCCTTCCGTGTTGACGTAGGTGCATTGTCTTTTGGTTTAGGTATCTTCCGGCAGGATGGCGTGGGTCAGTTCGAGGACCAGTTGCAATCCAACATCACCGGAATCTGTGGAAAATAGTTCCTTCTTGATGACACTAGTGTAGTGCACTAAGATTCCGATCTTAAACGCTTCGGCATTGGCCAATCCTCCAGCAACTGATCCACCTTGTCCTTGGGGCCGATTCGTATTCGACTGTTTCCAGTTTACCACTTGGGTTGCGCAGCATGGAAGCCGAATCACCGAATGAATCACTTCTTCTGCGTAAAACGCAAACAATAACCACGAATTAAAAGGAATACTTTAGTTGAAGGAATTAACTGCGGGTGACCGAGGAGGTTATGATGTTTTTCAACATATAAACATCCTAAATCTACATTAACGGTATACACTGAACGAATCCCAGCCCAATATTCGGACTTAGTATAATTTTAAAGAAAATTTTAATCGGATCAATGTATAAACAGTGCTTAACCATAAAATGATTAAATTTTAATCTACCTTCGTATAGCAATATTTTTGAGTGTAGGTATGTGCACTTTTGTGCGATTATCGGTATTTTTTACCGACATTAAATTTTTTACCGACATTAGGTATTTTGTCTTTGCGTGAGGAGTTCTGCACTCAAAGATAAATTAAATCATAAAAGCTTAAAAAGTATGCAGTTTCCCGCTTCACCTTATTGAGTCCGAGCCATGATTACTTCGGCAATAGTCATGCATGATTAAAATCGAAATAATCTTTCCAGTATTAAATTTTATTCTTTTTGAATACTGATGTATAATCAAAAAAGATTAAAATTCAATCAAAAATTATTAAAATAGAATCTAAAATGATTAAAATTTATTCAAAAAAAGATAATCTACAATCTAATCAACCATGATTAAACTGGGATTAATATCAGATGCTTATTTTTTAATCATTCGATATGATTAAACTGAGTTTAATGTCAAATTGTTTAAATTTCAAGCAAAATGGGAATAGTTCAATTTATCAGTGTGTGGTTACGTATTATTTGAACGGATCCATCTAGTTTTTTTAAATCTGTGAACGTGCATCAATGTTTGACAGCAGCATGCGAGAAAGGAGAGGTGCTGCTCAAAGTGATACGAATCAATAAACCAAAACAAATAATAGAAAAAGAATTTCTGTGAATAATTCACAGAGGACTTAATTATTTAGCAACTTTCCTGTTCTTTGTATATTTCTATCGGAAAACATAACAAAGTGATAGTTCTACAAATAGTTTTTAAATAGTAAACAACATCATTGTTTGCAAAAACAGCACATTAGAAAACGTCCAATAATAATAGCTCCCATGGCTCGGAGAACATCGCCAGGAAATCTATTCCGATCCACGAAAACAATCGATTAGCTTAGTCCCAAATTCGATTGTTTTTCCTTTGAAAGTTTGCAAGCATTAGCATTAGTGTTAACCAAAGATCCATAGCATTTACCTGTTAGTGGAAACGCTTTTGCCATATCCGAGAGACCAGCCAGCCAGTAACGATGCCATTCCGGGATTGGAAAATTGTCCGGATTATTACTGGCATCGCGATGCGGATCTGGGCGGCCAGTGGTGCAGCACTGTTGGCCGCTTTCGTTATTTACATCATCTATGGGGGATTCTTCGCTTTTATGTTGTTGCTTTTTGCCATCTCTGGTGAGTACCTTCATGGTGAAGCGAAGGCGATTTAATGTTGATTATTTTGAATTTTAGGCATCCTGTATCATGCCCAGGATAATCTTCTGTACCATCCGGACTTGCCTACAAACTCTAGGATATTTGTTCCGGTTCCATCGATGCATGGTTTGCCTTACGAAACCCTGCACCTGAAAACGAGAGACGGAGTCACATTGCATTCGTTTTGGATACGACATCCGGGGGACATGGGCCGTTATGTTCCGACGATTGTGTATTTCCACGGAAATGCTGGAAATATGGGCCATCGGCTGCAGAACGCCAGTGGTTTCTATCACTCGCTTCAGTGTAACGTCCTAATGGTGGAATACCGTGGCTATGGTCTCTCGGATGGAGCTCCCAGTGAGCGCAGCTTCTTTGCGGACGCAAGAACAGTGCTGGACCATTTGCACGGTCGTCACGATTTGGATCATAATCAGATAGTAGTATTTGGTCGATCGCTTGGAGGAGCAGTTGCTATTGATCTGGCAGCTGACGCGGTGTACGGGTCCAAACTGATGGCAGTTGTAGTGGAAAATACATTCACCAGTATTCCTGACATGGCTGTGGAATTAATTCACCCCTGCGTGCGATATTTACCGCTTCTCTGTTATCGGAATAAGTATCTCTCGGTGCACAAGATTCAGTTCATTTCGGCACCGATATTGTTCGTTTCCGGCCTAGCGGATACTTTAGTGCCTCCAAAAATGATGACCATGCTGCACACTCGATGTGGGAGTACGCGAAAAAACATGCTGCAGGTTGTTGGCGGATCACACAACGACACGTGGGCCAACAGCGGGTAAGTTGTTTGGGGACTTTAGACGGGATTTACAGAGCTAATAGAAGGAGGAGGGAGGAGGTGAGGTTCCAAAAGAGAACCCTGAGGACACGGAGTTAGGGATAGGATGGGTAGGAGCTCCAGAAGGGAGTCCCCCTAATAACAGAGTTTTAATATTTAAGAGTTGGCATTTTTCGTTAAATGTTATCGATGCTGCTGTCGTTTTGAATAATCGTGGTCATGTGGTCAAGTTCCGTGTCCTGTTCCTTTGTAGTCGCACCGTCATTTGTCCATTTCCGTGTTTGCTTTGCTTGGTCCGATATCTTCGTTCATCCCTTTCCGAGTTAGTAGTTGTTGCCGAGGTATTATAGCTGGTCCGAATTATTGCCCGTTGTCGTTGCTTGGGTGTTCATAGATCAAATTTGGAAAATCAGACCTGCCTCCTGAAGGAAGTAGAGGAAGCGCAGTGATGCTGGATGGGTTATCCCTCAGGGTATCCCTGACGCTACCTGAAATCCTGTACAGGGAATGGGACCCGTAGTACTGGGGGCATTCGCATAAGAAATGCTCCACTCTAAGTGGAACATAGCATGTGTCACACTGCCTTCTAAATCTGCCTCCGCCTCCCATGTTGTGGCCAGTTCTCAACCGGGATAGAATGACTTGGAGTCAGTGTTCAGGTGGATCCTCCCAGTTCCTGGTATCCCCTTTTACCTTCAGGATAAATAAACCACGAGATCGCATCCATTCGTTAGCCCAGTAGTTCCATATCGTAATTGTGATCCACCACTTTATGTCTTAGGCCGGGACCTGCGGAGATTCTCTAGGGGCACCACTGAAGAGAAAACACAGCAAGTGCATGAGAGTTGAACATTTTCTATTAACCTGTTTTCACTCTATATTCGATGACGGAAGAACAGCGCAATTGTGCCACCGACAAACCGACATGAATGACCATTCATAATTTCTGATAAAAGCGCAAAACTGACATCTGCCACGGCGTTCGCGAAAAATGTTTATCCTAGCCACGAATACGCGTATAATATTTATGAGTTGGTTCGTGTTTAATCTATTCTTCTAATCGAATTCTCCGCATTGTAAGACTAATTAACATTAAACAAAACCCCCTCCCCCTTGTAAGATCTCACATGCATAGAATATTTCAAAGGTCTGTATATGATTTCTTAATGCTTGCACTTTGGCTCAACGGCCCACTTAAAACGCCAACTTTGCGGTTCTTTGCAGTCAGATTTCGACTGACTGCTATTTGGCTTAACGCCACACTATTTGGCACAAAGGCCCACTGGAACTGCCAACTTGCGGTTCTTTACAGTCAGATTTCGACTGACTGCTATTTGGCTTAACGCCACACTATTTGGCACAAAGGCCCACTGGAACTGCCAACTTGCGGTTCTTTACAGTCAGATTTCGACTGACTGCTATTTGGCTTAACGCCACACTATTTGGCACAAAGGCCCACTGGAACTGCCAACTTGCGGTTCTTTACAGTCAGATTTCGACTGACTGCTATTTGGCTTAACGCCACACTTTGTCAGATTGACACTTTGGCTCAACGGCCCACTTAAACCGCCAACTTTGCGGTTCTTTGCAGTCAGATTTCGACTGACTGCTATTTGGCTTAACGCCACACTTTGTCAGATTGACACTTTGGCTCAACGGCCCACTTAAACCGCCAACTTTGCGGTTCTTTGCAGTCAGATTTCGACTGACTGCTATTTGGCTTAACGCCACACTTTGTCAGATTGACACTTTGGCTCAACGGCCCACTTAAACCGCCAACTTTGCGGTTCTTTGCAGTCAGATTTCGACTGACTGCTATTTGGCTTAACGCCACACTTTGTCAGATTGACACTTTGGCTCAACGGCCCACTTAAACCGCCAACTTTGCGGTTCTTTGCAGTCAGATTTCGACTGACTGGAAGTTCGCGGGCTCAAAACGTCGGAAAACGTCCTCCAAGATTCCTCTCTGGAGCCACCATGAAATGTCGCCGCCTTTAGCTACTTTCTTCTCCGGTTAGGGAGAGTCTTTCGCTTTCAGGTCAGACACTGTTTCTCGATTCTAGGAGCTACTTTTTTCCCCGGTTAAGGAGAGAAGTTTTCACTTCTAGGCCGAAAGTTCTTTCGGATTCAAAAAAGAGAAGAATCTGGAGTAACCTATGAAACTTAATTTTATTCAACAAAATTGTACAAAGTGATCTTACGGCTACGTGTTGCATTAGCAACTTATAATTATGTAAAACTTTTACATGATTTGTCCAGGGTTTTACATATCCCTTTCAATACCGGACTTTTGACCTAATTTTGCCTATTCTATTAGCTAGGATTTCGATCGCCCTTGAAAGGGTAAATTTGTGTTATTTGGATCTTATATACTATGCCCTCTCAGATCTGGGATTTCTCGGGTTATCTTGTAAGTTTATTTCTTTTTGTAACTCAGATCTGATATGGCTCTACAAATAAGAATGAGACATTTGTAACGTTTAAACATTATAATTATATCCTTCGTTAAGGATAAACAGAGAGGGAAAGCTAAACGTAACCTAGATGCGCAAGCATGCCATGCGTGGGCGTGTTTATCCTACTTGAACGCAGAAACGTTCCTAAGTAAATACTGTAGTTAGATTATGTAAAACGAGCTCTCGCTCCTTTTGCCCTACTTTTCATTTCATATTCTTGGCCTTGGTATCAACGTCAGCTAGGGCTATGCAAACGGGATGCAACTGTGAGTATCTTTTGGTTTTGGTTTGAAATTAATTGCCTCGCGGTAACACATTGTATGCCTTGTTATTGGTGATAAGACTCGGAGAAATAGCCACAATGTCAACACGCATTGTGAAGTAGATTTAAATCAAATTTGATATTAAAATTAAAATTTCTTGAAAGAAGGGATACTTTTAGATAACAGGGCTGGTAGCGAGTCACTTTTTTCAAGCCAGTCACTAAAAAGTTTCTTTCTTTAAGGCCAAGTCACTAAAGTCACTTTTTCTGACTTCTTGCTAGGACGCAGTGAGATGAACGTTGTGCGTCCGTTCGCTCTCATAATTTTCGGCTGCAATTGCCAGATTATCGCTGGCGCTCTGCCTCCCGGACGTTTATACGTGTGTGATTAGTAGTTTTCTCGCTTTCCGGGAAGTTTTAGAATAGAGAAAGAAAACGTGATTCAACATGTTTGCAAGCATCAGAAGAGATGTCGCGATCTGCGTTGTTTGATTTTCTCCCGGACCAGAAATTAGTGGCATCGCGAGTGATAATTTTTAATTTCAGTTTATTTACGCGCTGCAAGGTGCGTGAAAGAGCTCGGCACAATCGGTGTTGATGTTGGGTCGCTTGTAACTTTTTTTGTTGTGTTTTCGAAAGAAATTGATCGAAATTGTGCCAGAAGTGCTTCTGAACGTGTTTCGCAGTTGGATGTGGTGAAATTCGTGAATTCGCGGTTTATGTTCAGTGAAAATTCCGTGTCACAAAGTTGCTCAACGAGTTTCCTTTTTTTGCCGTTCGACGACGACGGGTTTGCGAGAGAAAAATAAGCATCGGGAATTTGCTCCCGGATGTATTGATTTGGTGAGTACGTTCCAGTTGAAGATTGTTCTTATACATATCTCGATTGCATTTTCGAGGGGACGTTCGGAGAGCTTTGAGATTTAGGCGTTGTTGCATTTGCGGGCAGATGAGTTGGTTGCCGGTAAGTGCCAGTAAGTGCTGCCAGCAGATGAATCAAGAGGTATTCGAAACAAAATTGATAAGAAATGTCCATTCAAATTGATTTAATACAGTTGAACAAATTTCAAAACTATATACGTGCCAGATTTGGAAATAATATTTTTTGAATCTGGAAGTGTGTTTATGATACCATTATCCATTTGATAAAGGTAGAGTGAACATGCGGGGCTTATTGTAAGTAAAAGTGACCTCGGAGTGGTCGTGAATTACCAGGCATTCTGAAATGGGTCACTGGAGCTGCAATAGAGCTAACACCTTCTAACTCCCGGACTAAACCTGCTTTAATTTAAGGGTAATAAAAAGCAGTTTTCTTCCATAATAACACTGCCGGACAGTGGGGGTTAGATTGTACACACACACACACACACACAGTGATGCTTCCTAAGTCAAAATCATCAAAAATTTTCGTTAGAATTATGTTGGTTAGTATTTTGATTTCAACCCGCTGCAATAGCAGCATAGGTAGCTCCATTTACTCGCTGAACATTGTTAGAAGTAAGGGGAGCAGGTATAGACGAAGAATTTGAAGCAGGGGTGATGTTTGTACCTACGGGTACGAATGTAGAATTTGTTCCTCGCTGACCGTTGTTAACAGCAGAGTGATTTGTACCTGGTTGGATACGTGGAGCTTTTCCTACCTGTCGGTAAGAACGAAATTGTAGGATCGTTTTGCGAGTCTTACATTCCCAAAAATTAGAAACATTTAAATTTCTTGATTTCTTGCGTGAGATGAATCACCACAATTCATGCATTTAGCTGGCATGTAGCAATTTTTAGTTCCGTGACCCCATCCCTGGCACTTACGGCACTGAGTGAGGTTTTGGAAATTTCCTCCAGTCTTCCTGAAGTGTTCCCACTTCACTCGTACATGGAGCATAAGTTTAGCTTTTTCTAAGGCCTTAAGGTTGTTTAGTTCACTAGACTTGAAGTGAACTAAATAAAAATCATTAGAAATCCCGTTGCGCGAATCGCTAGGACGGGATTTCATTTTCATTTTGATTACTTGGAGTGACACAACTCCAAGTAATTTTGCCAGTTCATCTTTGATCTGATCCAGGGATTCACTACTCGGCAGTCCTTTCATGACAAGCTTGAACACACGTTCAATTTTGGTGTCGTAAGTATAAAAAAATTGTGCTGCTTCTCAGTAAGATACTTGAGAAGACATTTAAATCCGTCCAAGGTTTCAGCCAATACACGGCATTCACGCCGACGTCCAATTTGTAGTGAAAACTTAACTTTCACGAAGTTCAAAAATTCCATGCGAAGAGCATGGAAAT